CATATTATGGCATGGGATGTCATGTTTTTGTCGAATCAAAGCAGAAATACATTAGAAAACAGTTCCAAGTAATCACTGTAGAATTCACACAGTGTTCACACAGAGTTAAAAACATTCAGTAGCACGCGCTGTACTTTATGTCATCGTGACCTGCGTATAACTGCACACTGGTCAACGTCTGTGTCGGCTCACAAATACCTTTCTACCCTGAGCCAACAGGCATTCATCATAGTTAACAGATGAATGTGTGTGTGTGTGTGTGTGTCTGATAGCAACGTGTACATGCACAAAGAGGTGGTAGCGAGAAGGAATGTCTATGTGTCTGGGGGGATGTTGCTGCATTGTGAAGAAGCAATGTGAGTATGTGTTTGTATACAAGCGTCTACAGTGCTGAGAGTGGTGTTGTTGAGCTTGCTGATTATATGTACATGAGTGACAGGAGAGACAAATGTCAAGAGTGTTCATAAGCACTGAAAAGGTCTTCAGAGAAGGTTGATAGAAGTATATGACAGTGTTTCAGAGGCTTCGCTCAGCTCTGGGTGTGTTGGTGTTTCTCTCTCAGCGGCTGTGACTCTCTCAATGGGGTTGGGGGGGCAGGAGAAGGGAGGGGAGGTGTGAGGGAGTAGAAGGGTTGGGGAGGAAGGGAAAGGACAGCAAGAGGAGGGAGTCAGTTGAATACAGGAAGATAAAGAGGAACGGGGCGAGGAGCAGGAGGTGAGGAAGAGGAAGCGTAGGGGGAGTCATGCCAGTTTATAAAGTTGCTATCAGTTGTAGGTAATTCACTCAAGTCTGCAGACCTATGCAACATGTGCATTAATTAATTACATTTCATTATTGTTAATAATTAGTTTTCTGATCAGAAGTTAGATGACAAGAGTGATTCTCATCCCTAAATTCCACCGGACTCAGGCGCAACGCGTTACGTTGCAGATGATTGCACTCATTCTAGACAATGCTCTTAATTCCATCAGAAGCGCCGTGGCACGTCTCAGAAGCATCCTCAAAGTGTCTCTCTGCTCTGCTTCGCGTAGAATACGCAGCTGGTCTAAGCTACGTCCCAATAACATTAAGCAGCTCAGAGCAGATTGCACTGGCAGGAAGTCAGACACAGAAACGACAGAGAATCCAATTTGAATCTATTTTCAAGTTGGGTGCAGACTCCAGATCGAATTTTACACTTTGTGGCACCAGGCCAGACAACATTCAGTCAGAGGCAGGTTAGAGGAGATTTAAAGCAGAGAAATACACTGTTTTGTATCCTTTTTAGGGACAAAATACACAAGTGAACAATGTCAGGCAGGCAACATGCCCTGAAGTTGCTCTTGGTGGGATTTGAAGACGTGCGGATCACGGAATGAAACCGTGCCATAGATGTAACGTTATAAAGTCGCGCCTAATGGAATTTCAGTCATGTATGTTTTGTAATTGATGTATGTAGCTGCTGGTTAGCTTAGCTTAGCTTAGCATAAAGTGTGGAGATGAGGAAACAGTCTGCTAACAGACTCCACCTATCAGCATGTCTGAATCTCTTATCTCATATCTTGTTTGATCAGTCTGTATAAAAACCGAATATTAAAAACAACAAGTTGTGGTTTTGCCAAGTGTGAACTTACCGTGACGTCAGCCATTGTTTGTGGAGTACCGCTCTGATGCCTGTAGCAGGAAACAATGGCAGCATGCCTGCTTACACATCTTCTCATATTACAGATAAACAGTGCAATAAAACATTTTTCGATTTTTAGTGAGAAATAGGCAACAGAATCTTGATCCATATTTGATCAGCACTGCCTAGTTTGACAGTTTGATCTGAGTTTGGTGCGCTGAGCTGGACAGACTCTAACAATGTAGCCACACCCTAAAGCACAGCCTGCTTTATCGTCTATTTTACTCTAAATGGAACCATAGTTTAGCAAATGAACATCCTGCTGTGTTGAAGAAGACATGAAACTATCGATTGTGACCATAAACTCATCAGGAAACTGTTTACTGAGCTCATAAATCAAGTGAGAAGTTGGGTCATTTTTCTGTAAGACTCAGTACAGTCAGACTTATTTTTTGCAGCCCATGGAGTGGAACAAGCCCATTAAACACTTGTTGATTTTACAGTAGAACATCCCTGTATGGATTTAACATGAGCCCTCAAAGTCTGTGTCCAGTGTTGAATAGTTAACAGTAGGTACAGATAAGCTTTTCAATTAGTCAATTAGTACTTAGTCAATTCATATTTTATTACATTTATATTCTGCAACTACACTTTGTTGTATTTTATTATATTTTATTATTAGATTTATTAGTAGATCCCCTGGTATTATTTGTGCTTACTGTGTTTGTCTGGGTTGCGGTTTAGACGCACCTAACAGCGTTGCTGTTGTGGTGCGGACATTGGTGCTGGGCCACATTCAGGTTCATGTATGAAACTCTCAGTATGGCAGCTTACATGGGGGTTGCCCCATCACCACAACCTTCCACCCTCCTTTATCATAGTGATGGAGTTGGAGGTAAAAGGGTTTTTCGGCAGAAGCTCCAGAATCTCTGACTATGGTGCCCCACATTGTACAATACCCGCTACTACAAACTGAAATATCAAAAAATATGACTGAATGTATGAACATAAGTAAAGGAGCATGCAGTATGATTAACACTGTGTCTACAGCTGACGTAGTCTCGATGCCTCCTGTCCTTGGAAACAGCGAGGCAGACAAAGAGCACCTTATGACCACTCGGCTGTACACAGTACATTCCCACTGCAGCAGCACAGGATGCAAACTCCCATCCTCCTCGTTTGGTTAGACAGACTGAAATATAACACATTTCATAGACAAGAGCTTTCTGTTTCCCTGTATGTTATCATAAGGAGATACAAGAGGCGGAGGCTGCGTCACACAGAGCAGGTTTTGTTCTACTCTAAGTCTGAGTGAAACATGAAAAGCTATTTGTCATAAATAATACTCTGCTTGTGCAGTAGCAAGTGATGAAATAATTTGTCTAATTGATCAATTATCTGATCAACAGTAGGAAGTATTTGTTTGTGTGAAAAACAAGTTTCATAATTATTGAATATTTTAAATTCATATGTTGTATGTCATTTTCCAAGCCTAAATGCCAAATATTCCCTGGTTTGATTTCTCAGAGATTCATTTTTACTGTTTTTATTGGTTTTAATTTCATCGTAAATTAAATATCTTTAGGTTTTTTTACTGTTGGTCAGAAAAGCCAGCAATTTGAAGACGTGGCCTTGGGTTCTGGGAAATTATGATAGAGGCTGATGAAATTGATTGATAATGAAAAAATCATAAGGAGCAGTAATGATGAAAAGCTTGATATTGTAGAAGCTAGTAGATAAATACTTGCCTGATTGAGACTTCATTGCTAGATGTTAACATTACACACGTGACTGAAAGTTGTCTAATGGGAAAAGGTTTTGGTTTGTCAGCAAATTGTTATACATGACAATGCTAACTTGCTGATTTTTACCAGGTATAATGTCTACTGTGTTCTCCAAGTTAGCGTACTACCATTTCCAAATCAAGATTAAAAACGAACCCCCTTTCCTACAGTTGATTTTGTTTTTTTGTGTGTGTGTGTTGCCCAAAGCCTCTAATAATTTAATTATTATTATTATTATAAATAATATTGAACACAGTTGATGTTTACAGGAACTTTTGTAAGTATTAAAGTTAAATGTTTGACCTGATGTGGGGCTCGAGACGACAGGTTAAGCAACCACCAAAATAATTGCAATTCTTACTCAGAGGAACATGAGTGTGTGAATCAAATTGAATGGCTATCCATTCAAGAGTTGCTGAGATATTTTTGTCTTGACCAAAGTGGTGGACCGACATGAGAGCCGATTTCTTTCTTTTTTTTGTGTAATATTGTAGGATTAGCATGGTTAGCATAATAGGTAGGCATAATGTAAAATTGTAAAACTGGTATTGGAAATTATAAGGTTTAGTATAATTACATTGAAATTACATTAAATAATTTAAGTGATTTATGAGCACACACACACCAATTATTGGTCAAAACATTGCTACATTTGGCTACATGAAAGCCAGAGTTGGCACTAAATGAAGAGCCGCTTGGGAGTAAGAAAGAGCCGGCTCTTATTGCTGAGCTGAGCCACATGGTCTGACTCACTAAAAGGGCTGGAATTCCCTAAAATCACACCAGTGACATTTGCAATCATCCATACGCTACATGGTTTTATAAAGTCAGCCAACACGTTCCTCAGGGATCAGTGTCAATGTGAACACCTCCTCTTGTATATGTGCTATTGCTGATTTTGAATCCGGGCGTATTGTTCCTAAAGGTCACAGTTTGACTTTTTAGGGCCAAATATTTCAATAAATTCATACACATGCATAAACAGAGGCACCCACACACACACACACACACACACACACACACACACACACACACACACACACACACACTTCAGCTGGATATGCAGTTCTTGGACAAAAGACAGACATCAACACGACTTACCTCCATCTCTCCAGTCAACTCTGAGCATACAAATGATTGGTCTGTGTTTTGCATTACGGGCTGTATGTGACAAGGTGAACATGTTTGAATAATGATACCTTAATGACCCTACCTGCAGTCAAACAACAGTTCATGCTCTATATATCTGCCAGCGTTTGTTACACTGTATGTATGGATTTATGGCATTGAATCATGTTCTCGTTATCGGATGTCTCTCTGCTCTACATTTCAACCTACTGTACGTGGCAGTCGACCATGTGGAAACCCTCTTTTTAACTGTGAATATTTGTGATCAGGAAATTATTTAGTCGGCTCCAATGTTGATATTTTGGAGCTGAAAATGTTTGATGGTACAGGTGTCTACTCTTGGAGCCAGTATGGCTTTCAGACAGCTACTCTTCAAAACTGTGTGAAAGTGTTCATTGTTTCACCTTCAGGTAAATTACCTTTCTGTTTATTTTGCTGTAAGAATCTGAATAAATGAGTCACCATCTCTCTCTCTGTGTTGGCAGCCATGCAGCAGGCTACGACAGTGACCCCAACACCCCCATGGTGTACAGCTGCAGCACACAGTACCACATACACACGCATGGAGTCTTCAGGGGAATACAGGTAGGACTCACACTAAAACTACTGCGGCGTCTCTACATTTCACTTCCTTTTTCATTGTTTGATGCCATCATGAGGTCACACAGACCCTTTGCCTGCACACACAAACACACACACACACACATTGTGTCCTTGGCTGTTTAGTGTCAAGATCAGGATATACACACATGCTTAACATACTGAAAGCCTAAGGTCAGTGTACCAAACACTGGAGGAAAAACACATTAATGACAGAAAAAAGAAGGTATTTTTTTTTACATATTTCTTGTGTAGTGGAGAGCCTGATGAAATGAGCAGGCTGTGTGAGGAGGAAATACTGATATGTAGCAGAGCAGAGATTTACAAACACACTCACACGCACAAATGCCTGCATATGCACACAAACACGTCGCATAGTACACACATTTTTTAAAAAGGCAGCTCTAAAGGCCAAGAAGAATCTTTTTCCACAAATCCATTAGCAGTGGCGAAACACACACACACACACACACACACACACACACACACACACACACACACACACACACACACACGGGTTACACTGGGTAAAGATACAGTTTCCATACAAGGATCAGCATGTTAATAAATCATTAGATTTTAATTATTGTCTGTCAGCGGCTCTAAAGGACAGGGAGCAGAGATTCTCCAGACGTGCTCTTAGTCCACAGCAGGACTTTTGAGATTTTTCTTTCTTTTCATTTTGGGGCCTGTTTCATCATTCACTCTGCTCTCTTTTTTCCCCTTTGCTCATTCTTTTTTCTTCTGTTCATAGAAGTGGATTGTACTAAACACACATAAGTCTGGCTCAGTGCAAAAGAATAAACAAACTCTCGCTCTTATGCCTTTTAAAGTATAATTTAAGAGCTGCTAAAATATGAGATAACAGATTGAGTAGCAACGAGATGCTTTGTTCCATAATGTTAATAACGGCGATTACACTAATTCTCAGTCACTGCCAAAGGAAATACAGATGACAGCCAGCAAAAAATATTACAGGGCTTGCTGACAAATCTGAATCCTATGATTACGAATCACCCAACAAATGACTTAATCACAGCTAATTATATCATTCTGCTGTGAGATCAATCAGTCAGTTTTGTTGATCTCTAATCATATTATGTAAACTAACAACAACACCTGCAGCAAACAGACATTTTTCTTGCTCACTGCAGACAGGCATGCTGGATTAGCTGTCAGGTACTTTAGTGAGTATTTAATAATAAACAAATAAAGTCATTAATAATATATTAATATAGCTGTGGTTATAAATGAACCAACCATTTGAGAAATAATTTAAAGAAATATGAAAACTATTATCATATTATTGCAGACAATCTTCATTCTATTTATTTCAGAAATTAATTAAGCAAAGTTAATTAATTATCAAAAGTTCTTTATTTCATAATGGCATTTAGGATTTAGTGGCAACTAGTGATGTAGTTGCAGACTGAAACTCCCTCGCTTCACCCTCAAGTTCAAAATATTATACTATATTATGAAACCCATATTGTTTACATCCATGTTCTTCTTCACTGCGTTTTCAGGTGGATTGAATTAGTGGAATAATGTAAGACCATTGGCAGGAATGTGTAAAAAAAATACTAATAGTAGAGCTGTAAAGGGTCAAAAACTCCACAGGGGGGGATAATTATCAGTGCAATGAGTTGGATTAACACCTTGTTGGGGTTCATTGCACTGTCAACAACACCTTGTCATTAGTGTATTCTACACCATGTATTGTGCATCACTATAGAGCAAAGTCCAGATTATAATCAAGTCTTACTTTCCTACTGTTTCAGTGTAATGTGGGATGTAAGGATGATTGTGTCAGTGAATTTCACACCTCTTGCAGTGTGTTACGACTGTAATGTTTGTATAAATAGCTGCTAACAGTGCTAATTACAACAGGGCTGACCTCAGAGTCTCTCTGGCCATTATTGTAGACATTGAGGAAATGAAGAGCAGATGGCTGCGGGAGGGCAGAGAAAGGGGGTGGGGAGGGAGAAGGGGGGAGAAGAGAAAGAGGAAAGCAATGGTAGAATTTTTTTTTTTAGGTAGAGTGGTATAGAGTGGATCAGTTCAAGAAGAGGAGAGAGACGTGAACAAAATGCTGAAATGTCATGTACTGCGTTGACAAGTAGCTACATCGAGGAACTACAGGTCGGCAGGCGGCATGAGAGAGCATGAAAAATAAGAAAATAACCCTAACCCTAACCCTATACTGATTTACTATCCAGATGAACTAATACACAAAATTTGGGTTTTTCTTCTACAGCCATGTGTTATTTCCTGTTATTCTTCTCCAGCGGTGTCGGCACTGAGCTGCGGGGTTGTAATGGGGCGCTCTAGAAGGGGGCCTGTCTAAAAGGCGTGACTAACAGCTCCCCCTGGGCTGCAGTCAGTCTGGGGTCATTTTACTGCTAATTCCCAGCTAATGAATATATGACCATTTTATTATAATGATCTCTGTGAGCCAGACACATCACATGCACTTATTTACACACAGGACAGATTTAATTGCCTGTCTTCTAAATTACATTTTACTGGGTAAAATAATTGATGTCTAGGGAGAGTTTCTGTTAATTTTGCATTGAGTGCTTTGGCTTTGAATTAAAGTATTGTCTGTGTGTGTGTGTGTGTGTGTGTGTGTGTGTGTGTGTGTGTGTGTGTGTGTGTGTGTGTGTGTGTGTGTGTGCGTGCAGGATGTGCGGCGGGTGCCCAGCATTGCTCCAGCCATCGTGCGGTCAGAGAGCAGCGAGAAGCGCCCGTTCATGTGTGCCTACCCAGGATGCAACAAACGCTACTTCAAGCTGTCTCATTTGCAGATGCACGGTCGCAAACACACAGGTGAAACCAACAGAAACAGGAAGCTGTGCTGTGATATTACACATATTCTACAGATACTGACAGCAGTGTTGTTAGTGCCAGAAAGTGTGTTTCCCAGAAACACAGTTACTGTCAGCAACGCGTTCTTATTCACTCAAAAGTTCTCTGTTTGGCTTTAGAAGAACAAATGTTTTAAAAGCTTTTAAAGTGATGTTTCCATTGGCCCAGAACACCCATATCTGCTATTGCCAGAAAATACTTCCTGTTTTGCAAAATAAAGAGATCCTTTGGATTTCCCGTCAGATCTGAAGCAATGGCAGTGTGATTTGACACACACTCATTCATGTGCACCCTTTTCAGCTGTTACTTTTACTTCACTTAGGTGCTTGAGGTATTCAGTATCTTTGCTGATAATGAAACATTATTTAAGTCACTATAAAGTCAAATAAATCCTGCTGCACCCTTGGCCCGTCCTCAAGGCAACCTGGGATGGGCCAGTACAATGGCCTCCGGTTTAACTACAGTATTGTTCTGATGTTGGAAAATGTATATGATGATGACAATAATGTTAAAATGCCTCACAGACAAATTCTGCTCTATTATCATAAGTTTGCCTTTGCACATTTGAGACATACATTTAGGGCTGCAACCAACAACAACATTATTGATTATTCTGTCAATTATTTTTTAGATTGATAGCCTGGTGACATTTGAGAAGCTGCTACCCACCCAACCTAGCCGACTACCTAGCTACACTGGGTTGTGAGCTTGGTTTATTATATTTGTCAGCCGTCAAAGAGAAGAGTCAGCGTTAGCAGCCAAATTCAGGGTTACTGCAGCAGTGTTGTGATTATAAAGATGTTCCTCAGTGAAAAAAACACACACCTCTGTACTCATGAACTAGCTGACACTGACATGAGAAAAGGATGAAATAACAGCACTAGCTAATAGGGATGCACAATATATATCAGGACTGATAAATTATCAGTCGCTAATTGGATATTCATATTAGTATGCATTATTCCAATAATGTACTTATAGCAGATAAATTATCATTTGATAATAATCTATTTTGAATTTTGAATTGAAGTATGAACTTCTTTTTAAAATAGGATAATGTACAGGTACTGCCAGATATTGGTTCAGTATTGACTGAAACATAGAAGACTAAAAAAAACAGCAATGAGAAGCTGGGGCCCCCAAATTCGTTGACATCTATTTAAAAAACTACAATGAATTAGGTCATGATTGTGATTCTGATTCATTTTCTGTCAATTAGCTAATCAATTAATGGCCTCATTGTTTCACCTCTACATATATTACTATTTTCCATTCACAGTCAGAACAGCAGCTTTGTTGTCAGCAAAATTAAACTACTACACCGTTACACCTTTATTCCTGTGGGTGTGTTATCTGTGATATCTTCAGGGAAGAAGTGATCAAATAATTTCATTTAATAATGTGTGTGTGTGTGTGTGTGTGTGTGTCCTCTCTCTTGTCTTTGTCCAGGGGAGAAACCCTACCAGTGTGATTTCACAGACTGTGGCCGGAGCTTTTCCCGCTCCGACCAGCTCAAGAGACACCAGAGGAGGCACACAGGTTTGATCAATTTTACTCAACCTGACTTTACTTTACCTTTGTATTTACTCTCTCTGAATTTCCTCTCCTCTGCTGTATGCATGACAGCCATTTTGTGGACAATACAGTCTTTTGAAGTACACAGTTTGCATTTTGTGTACAGTGTTGAACTACATTAAGTTGCTAGGCTGGCCAAACTTTGGAATGGCTTCCTGCAAGCCTCTGCTCTACTGTATTTTTCTATCTCCCTCTGTGTGTGCGTGTGTGTGATGTTGAACATGTGTTTTCTGTATATGTGTGTGTGTGTGCGTGTGTGTGAACTTGGGCGTGTGTATACATGCATACTGTACATGTGTTTAGGAGTTAAACCCTTCGAATGCGAGACGTGTCAGAGAAAGTTCTCTCGGTCTGACCACCTTAAGACACACACCCGGACTCATACAGGTAAAACAAGTGCGTAAACTTTTATTTTTCCATTTCTTCTTCATCCATTTGATGTTTAAATATATACAGTTGCAAAAGAGTAATTTTATAACATAGTATTGTCAACATGTATTTATTCTTATTTGATTTGTGTAATTATGTACTACAGTACTACAGTATATAAAGTCAATTTAATCTTCCCATTCAGGTTGTGATCAGTATAGTATTCTAACATTTCTCTCATTTTCCCTTTCTTTTCACTTGATTTCATTATTATTCCATCCGGCTTGCATCCTCTCTAAATCCCTCCTCTCTTACTTTCTCCACCTCCGGTCATTACCATCCTCCCACTACTTCTTCATTCTATCTTCTGTCTCCTCCACCCTGTCCATCCTTCCTGCCTGTCTCTCAGGTGAGAAGCCGTTCAACTGTCGGTGGCCGAACTGTCAGAAGAAGTTTGCCCGGAGTGACGAGTTGGTGCGACACCACAACATGCACCAGAGGAACCTCACCAAGCTCCAGCTGGCTATCTGAGTCTTTTGTCAGCACATATCACAGTTTTAAATGTAAACATCTGGGTTACATCTGCTTATATTTTCTGTCTCCACTTAATCCAAACCTGGTGGCCACCTTTGCACCCACTAACCTAGCCTGTGTAGGGACCAGTAGAGTCCTAATGGCTCCCTTAAAGAGGTTAATATCACTAGTCACTATTGCTGCCGATCCATTGTTGGTTTTGGTCTTTACATGGGATTTAAAGGTCCAGTGTGTAACATTTAGGAGGATCTTATGACAGATATGGAATATAATATTCATAGGTATGTTTTCATTAGTGTATAATCACCACCTGTATATCCACCGTATATGCATCAACATGCAACATCTCACTCTGTGTTTCTCTGCAGAGCAGTGCAATTGTCGGTAGACTGTACCAGAGGGGTAGAGCGGGGGGAGATTGTTCACTAGTTAATCTATCACAGATACTTGTGCTGTGAGAGAGATGCTTTGCTGAAGCAAAAAACACAATGTTAGAGAGAAGTCTAAAAAATGTTAGTCTGTGGTGGACTGCCACAGGCTTGGTAATTAATGGGAAACACTGAGTCTAGAACAGACAAACAAAGCACTGGTACTTGATAGGGTCTTTCATGTTTGTGCAAGTTTTGTTGCCACTGTTGTTTCTCCTACACACTTGGAAGGCTGAGCTGTATTCAAGTGGATACACTCAGCAACTTCACGGCTAGATGCCACTAAATCCTACACACTGGTCCTTTAAAGATTTGAATTATTGTAGCTGTAGCTGAAAAGAGCAACATTTCACTTAAGTTTCTGTTTCCGAGAAACATTTTGGCAAATGCTGTCCAGCTGGTGTAAATATAAAAATGTACACAAACCCAATTAGATCTACAATACAGTCACTTTACAGAAGGTCCCCAGAGTCAATGTTAGTATCTTTGCACATCAAGACAGAAGAATTTCAACCATAATGTAATATTTCATTCATCCCCAACTATTGTCTGTTTTCTTGCCACCATCCACCACTGTGTGTAAAGTGAGGTCAAAGGTCATGGTCATCTGCATACATGCCCCCGCAGCTTAGCGCCTTCAGCTGTTGTAAATAGCTCTTCTGTTGAGCTGCATTGGGAGGGCCTCTTTGTTATCTTTTTGTGAACAAAACTTGCTTTCACTGGAATGATTTAAAGAGAGGGAGGTGTCATTCAGTCTCTCTGCTTTTTCTCATAATTTCCCTTTTATACCATGGGTGATAATGCTGGGTTTGATTTAAAGAGATCAAATGAAGTGAACAACTTGCATCCAACACCGTATGCATTATGTGTTTGCAATGTAAGCTTTTGGTGTTTTGTCTAGTCAGCATAAAATGTACTTTGCAAACACAGATATGCCTTTATGGTTGTATTTAAAAAACTGAACTTTTATGTGACGATTGGATTTTTTTTTTCTAGCATTGCTCAGCGCTCTCAGAGCCAAATCGTCTTGTCTGTGTGGTGTGTAAATATTGCTGGACTTTGGCAGTGTTTTAGACACTGCAAGCTCTAAAATATGTCTGCTGGGTCACACTGGCTCTGTGTCCGGGACATTATGGTCAAGATGTAAATAATTCTTCTTCACCATGGGAACTGAACTCTTTCCATGGGGGAAAATATGTAACTTAACTGATATATTTTAGACTTTTCTTTGGATGGATCCAAGAACTGTTTATACTTTCAGTTTTCTCTCTTTTGTGTGTATTAATATTTGAGTCATAAAACAGCAAATGTCAGTGAAACATTTTTGTACTCAAAAGTGTGAGATAATTGAAAATGATGATGTTTTCTCTCTGTGTAAATGTATTGTGACTGCTTTGATACAGCACCAGTTTGTCTCTGTGGTCTTTATTTATTCATTTGAAAGTTTCTTTGTTGTTTTTTTTTAATACTAAGTCATCATTTGTTTATTAGTCAGTAACATAGTATTATCATCGCCCACAAGAAGGTCACAGAATTAAAATAACAATTCCTCCTCACACACAGAAAGAAATATCTATGAAATACTGTATAATAATGTATAATTCCGCCATTTTGAGGATCCAATTATTTCTTTTGAAATATCCCACTGCCCTAAAGATACAATGTCATGTAAAAAAAAATAGAATTCATCAGCTGACCTTGACCGAGGTTTCCTCCCGTAACACACATAGAAGGTTTTCTTCTTCAGCATAGTTTATCCTGCCCTGTTTGTGATTAAACTCTTAATAACTGAATTAAAACTTTATCAGAGATCAGCTTTGTGAGTGACTACTGTGTACACTCTAATAGACACAAACAGTTGCACAATCAGCATACACACTTACACACAGTACAGTACAGTACCATCCACTTTTCTTTCTTTATCTCTCACCAGATTCTTCATTGCATTCCTTGGCTCTCCTCTCCGTGAAAAAAAGGAGCTGTAAAGGCAGATTAAAATGAATGTGTTTTCTTTCAGCCTCTCTTTTACTCTTTTCACTCATGCTGCTTCTTACTCCTCTCATCCTTCCTTGTCCACTTTTTTTTTAGGTTAAAATCTGCCGTTTATTTCTTTGGATCACCCTTATGACCTTCAGCTTCACCATAACTTACTAATACCTTTTTAGGGAGGAGATTTCATCAATATGATGACAGTCAACAACACTCACATGCATGAAAACAATAACTCACAGCTTTAAAAAAAAAAGTTCTACAGCCACCGCAGTGTTTATGGAGAGAGAGAGAGAAAGCAGCAGAAAACAGAGACAGAGACAGATGGAGGGAGAGATGGATAAAGACAGATACAGCAATGTTTCTTTTGTGAACTTTTATCACAAGTTTAGCCAAAGTGTTAGTGTAAATCAGACAACGTGTCCGATTCCCTCGGTGGAAATCCCCTGAAACTCCCCAGGGCTCTTGTGCTATATCTCAGCTGTCGGACAAGGCCTATATCTCTCTCATCTCTCTCTGCTGTGTGTGTGTGTGTGTGTGTGTGTGTGTGTGTATGTGTGTGTGTTTTGGTGTTTCATCTCTGTCCCAGCCTAATGCCGCTGAAGGCCTTTGAAGTGAGATAGCTGGTCAGTGTAACTGTAGTTTTGTCCACTTTCAGTAGTCACATTAGACACTGTATCTAAATGTTCTACTTAAAGCAGATATAGAAAACATGGATGGATGGAGAACATTAGGCCCCTTGCAAAGAACTGAGAAAAAATCCCATACAAAGTACAGTACGTCAGGCCTTTTTGGTCCTCAGCCAATCAGAACATTGCTGTAGTTATTTTAACCTGAAGGCAACTAACTCAACCTGGCCTCAGTCAGCTTTCAGCATGCTAATTAGCTTAGCCTAAAGAGAACACCGAAAAGAAATGTTAAAGTGGCTATAATCTACATTTTTGTAATAAGAATATATCAAATGACAATGTGAAAGGGACTGTTGTAGTGGTGAACCTACAGAAAATTCACCCAAATCTGCAGCTCCCCTCGGCTTTATAGAGTTTTAAAGTAGGTTTCAGCTCATTGTTTAGCTTCCGGCCCACAACTTTATTATTTCAGTTTCACTCTCACAGCTCTCATAGCGTGGCGACCCTCAGGAGAAAATGGTTTTCAGCAAAAAAAATCTCTAAAAACCCTCTACACTACCTGCCCAGCACCAAAGACAGACAACGTTAGCAACTAGCTGGTGAAGAGCCAGATATTTCCCTCAAGAGGTTGCAGAGACCATTCACAGAGCTAAAAGAGACTGAATGTCACTCTGTCTTTGCTGGAAGTGTTAATATCCTCCTGTTTTGCTAACACTTTCAGCTAAAAAGGGGTTCACAACTGTTTTTGTTGCCCCCAAGTGGCCAAAATATCAGCTATTGCAGGTGGGTTCATTTTAGCTAGGTAGCTTCTTTAGCGACACTTGGCCTAACATTATAGCTAGGAAGTTTTGCCATTTTACAGCCATGCTCATTCAATTCAATTCAATTCAATTTTATTTGTACCAATTCATAACAGAAGTTATCTCAGGACACTTTTCAAATAGAGCAGGTCTAGACCGAACTCTTTATAACAACTCATGACTTTAAGGGGTTTTTTGTAGAGACAACTCTTCAGGCTGGATCTTGTTAGCCTCTTTTAGCTTGTTTGTTTCACAGCACATTTAATAATTTAGTTCAGTTTCACCGCGCTCATCAACCTCATGTTATGTTTTCAGTGAAAAACCTTGGATAAAGCAATGCACCAGTGGTGGAATATAACTAAGTATATTTATAATCTGTACTTAATTAGCCTACACTTTTGAAGTAATTGTACCTGAGTATTTTCATTTTAACAGTAGTACTATCTTCATCCTGGAGACCAGACTTGCAGGCCCTTGTTGCACCTGTTAAAGTGGGACACATAATTGTATTGACACCTTATTGGTATGTTGGGTTTGGTCACCTCATGTCACTCAAAGCTCTGCCCAACTTCAGCCTACGCAGAATACAAATCAGCCAGGATCACTGTGTGTGTGTTTAATGTAGTCATGCTGGAAGAAACCCTGCCAAAGTTTGAGATGAGCTACAGCTTTATGTCACCAAACCTTTGTCTGGCTTGTCAAGCTCACCGTTGTCAACGAGATTCAAGCACTGAAAGTTGCTTAGAAAAGGGTGAAGACACAGAGGACTACCTCTTTTTTTAAGGATGATTTTTGGGGCTTTTATTGCCTTTAATCAATAGTGACAGGAAAGTGGGGAGAGAGAGGGGGATGCCACGCAGCAAAAGGCCACAGGCTGAAACCGAACCCAGACCACCGCGGCAAGAACTGAGTCCTTGAGCATGGGGCACGCACTCTACCAGATAAGCTCCCACAGAGGACTACTATTCTCCAAAACGTTGGGAGCACCTGTCTGTACTCATACATACAACATACTAAGCAGAGGATATCAACTACTGTAAAGGCCTTTTTCACTGCAGACACTATGTCATACAGTGTATGAATAAAAGAACAATTAACGATGGCTCTGTTCTATTTAAGTGTGTGAGCCAGCCTGCAGAATACCAACAGACCCCAAAGACTGAAACAGCTAAATGGAATTCAGCCATCATTCATTTTATTTACATGACTGTGACCAGCCAAAATATCTGCTGCGGAAAAAGGCCTGTTGACAAATTTATAGAGCTTTCAGTAATGTAGGCTATAATATGAATGAATGACTCAACATATGAATGAATTAAGTATTTATTATTGTATCATGCACACAACTATACCCAGTCCACATTCTGAAGAATTCTGCATGTACATATTTACATACAGAATTATCCATGTCGCCTTCATTTCCAGGCATCTGAGAGCAAGTAAGCAAACTTAAAAGTGAACTACTAACCCAGTGTTTCTTTGAGCCAGTTCTTTGAAATGAACCTCACCTCCCCCTGGTTTTCACTTACTTAAAAAACAATATCTAAGAAACAATCATATTTAGTGCCTGAAGGTGAGCGAAATTGACTAAATGTTAGCAATCTCACTATTTTCCTCAGTAAAAATAAAGAAAGAGAGACCTAAATAAGCAGCCAGCACCAGGGAGGAGAGAGAAAAAAGAAACTGGGGGAAAGAGTAAAAGACAGAACAAAAAAAGACAGGAGACATCCTCTGCGGTCATGTTGCTCTGCGATCTGTGGAAGCAGAGAAAGCGAGATGATACTGTGGATGTTTAGGTCCTGGTACGGCTCAGCACAACTCATTACACACATACACACACAGTGCTGGAAGTGCTCAGTGCAGTTTGTTTCTCAAGAGGCTGCATTCCTTCACTAACTGTCAAAGACTCAAGTTGCTTCAAGAGGATAAAAATACTGACATGAGTACAGCAAAGCCACAGCAGGAGAGATTACTATTAAAAAGTGCAGATGGAGTGCAGAGTAAACAGAAAATATAGCAATAAAATACAGTCGTCATTTTGTTGGTACTTGTCCTACGGTTCCTCGTACTGGTGATTTTCACAACCTTATTTTAACATCAGTTAATTATCGACTGGCAGCCTCTACCAGCAGCTACTCTGTTTTTCATTTTGTGCCTCCGGGTTGGATTTGGAGGGAAATCTGTTTTATTGCTCTATGGCACAAAACAGGAAGAAGGCGATGTTCCTCCAGCCCAGACTGAGCTCAAGCTTTGACAGTTTCTGGCAGTGGTAGATGAAAGGAGATGGAAGAATCCTTTCCAACATGGTTATCCTCAATACAGCCAAGAGAGCAACCAGGAAACTCCAAGAGCATATGAGAAACTGGCTTTTATTATTATTAAATGTGGTCTAAAGAGATCTAGAGATAAATTAGCGATACATTTTTGAAAATTTGATATCAATGTCACAGTTTCAGCTCTAAAATGCTTCTGCCAGACTGACTACCATGTGACACATACTCTTGCATCTCTTCAGTACTATCTTTGGATTGATTCTATTCTATTTTATTAAATATATATTCAAAAACTTTTTTAAACATGTACTGGGCTTTTAATCTTTAACACTGGTGAAAGTTTATTTTGCATTAAGCCCATTATGTTTTTAAAATGGATATACAAAAAAAGCTTTTATAAAGTAGGAGTACCAGTACAAGTATGAGTGCCTGCAAATGAATAAGACTGTAATGGCGATACTTTTGAAAGATAATTTTAAGCCATGGTTGTGGGCAAGCTTGCTGTTTAAATTACAACTTTATCCACTCCTTGAGTTCAAACATTACATTAATTAACTATAACAGTACGGCCACACAGATGTTTTCACTTATTTTGCCTAATTAAACCTCTTCTGATGCAGTCAGACCAAAGTTAGCTTACCATTCATTTCCAGAGCTTTGACAGTTCCTGGCTGTATCCTCTTCACTGAAGCCAAGACATTGCTTTTGGCCACTACCACTGATATATGGCCACATCATGGATGTTTCACCAAGCACATGTTGGTCTAACTGCTGCATGAGGAAAGTGTGGGTGTGTATAGACTTAACTTGACTCATTAGCTTTGTTGCACCTGTAAGGGCAGAGACGTTACCCCTTTCTTATTGGTTCAGGTAACCTTACATAATTTCCTGCATAGCTCCACCCAACGTCTGTGTGCAGGGAGCATTTATTGACTGTGATCACAATCAGGTTTATTGCCAAGTACATACAAGGGATTTGGCTTGGTATACTGGTGCATAAAAACTAACATAGTATGAGAAAAAAATATATAGAACAATATAAAATCTAATAAAAATATCAATAAAGATGTGAATAAAAAGAGAAATATTAAAATGCAATATGTACAGTATGGCCGTTATTTAAATGAAGAGCTGGACAGTTTGTCCGGGGAATGTGTAAGTTCACTGTGTGAAGAATAAAGGATATCTACAGTGTGCGAGATATAGTCCAAGAAATGTGCACGAATGTAACACACATTCAAGTGAGTAGGTACTGCATAATGTAAATGTATAGAGCAGGGGTCTCAAACTGCTATTTTTTGTAGTTGCTTCATATCAATTTAAACTAACTTCTTATACAATTATAATAAAAACACAATATTGACAAAGGTCAAAGGTGCCTGCAAATGTGTGATAAGAAGAAAGCAGGTTTTGGGCCTTTATTTGTTATTTGGCTATGAACAAAAAATATTATATTAAAATTATAATATAAAAATATAAAAGTATAATTTTAGTAATGTGAATATAATTTTCAGAATTTTGCACTTTCCTGTAGTACTTGAACTTTGAAGTGGCCCGAGATGACAATACCGGCAGTGGCCCCAAGCCAGTCTGAGATTGCGACCCCTGGTGTAGAGGGTGGGTGGTGGGTATAAGAGTCAATGTTGAAGTAGGTGCAACTAAAATGCTAAGACAAAAAATTACAGAACTCTGTAACAAAAAAGTACAGTGCCTTTGTATTCAAACTGCCCGGGGCCTCATTTTCTGATTAAGTGCTCTGACAGAAGAAAGCAAACAGAGAGAAAGAAGAGTGATTGTCTACTCTGAAGGTCACTTGTGCAGCTGGGGTGATGCACTGCAGGGGTCAGAGAGGTCAAGACAGATTCAGACACTTTAACAACATTTTAAAATCCTGTGTATGTGATTGATATACCTTCAGACCATATGCTCTTAGTTGCTTTTGCCCGTTCCTCTCACTTGCTATCTGTGTGTTTCTGAGTGAGCAGGAGAGGCAGACTAACAGACACAAGGAGAAAGGGTAGAAGTGAATGATGAGCAGAGATGCTCTCAGGCAGTATTTTACATTTAGTGCCGCACTGTCAGTGTCATGTTGTCCACAACCTTTCTTCTTGCCACCCACCCACCCCTTTTCTCTCCTGTTTCTGTCTGTCATTGGCTGCTTTGGAAAACATTTGTAAGATCTTTAAGAGTGAATATGTCAATGTCAGCTGATTCTTACATATAGGTAAACAAACTGCACAACAACAGGTAGTCTCTATCCCCCCATTTTATTAAATTTAAGACAACATTTCCCATGAGGCTTGTTGTCTCCTGCTGCAAAGATGCTGTTGTCCCAGAGATATCCTCTGGAAGTTTTATGTGTTTAGAGTTTATAGTCAGCAGTGCAGGTTTATCTCTTCAGTCTTTACTTGGATGGTAAAAGTATTCAAAACAAATTACAACTGCTTCAAAACTGTCTCCAGGTTTCAGAGAGGGTCTTTCTCTAACACTCACACTGGAGTTCAGGCAGCACACAGCAGAGAGGTTCAGTCTCTAGCTCCACCCTGTGGTCAGTCTGTGTCATTATCTTTAAAGATGAACTACACAGTTGAAGGTGAGGTTCAAGCTGAACCCCTGTAGACCCTTGTAGATCCAACTGGTGGATCAATTCCAGTTTTATTTTTCTTTGTTGGGTTCTGAACTGATTTTTGTAATAATTTCAGACCAATGTTCAATGTGTTCAATGTGTTGAACCAAACTGAATGTCTGTCCCAATGGACATCAGGTCTGTTAATATGATCTGAACTGTTTATCAAGCTGAGACCATCAATTCAGCATCATCACACGTTTTCTTTCACGATTATTTGATTTAATCAAGTTAATACTGAAGTTATCAACTTAATTCCACAATATCTGTACAGAGTTACTCCCATGTGAGTATAATGTAATGTGCCATGATTGTGATCAACATACTGTGTTTGCTCTGTGGGCTTCAAAGGAGGATGTCTTAATCACCAGTAATATGAAATACAATTACAGGCACAGAAGAGCTAAAATGATTTCGCTGTAAAACCAACATACTAGGACTATCCACGTGTGGGCTATAGTTAACACATGCACAGTTAAAACAACCGTAATATTTCCAATAAACTTTACACTGTAACAGTGGCATCCATTTTGGTGGACATGACAAAAATATAACTGTTACAATGAACAGGGAGGAACTGAAAAGCGGACAGACACACAGGTAGTGGATTTGATGAAGAGAGTAATTTATTGTCCAGACTAAAAGGGGAATGAATGTGGTGGAGGGGAATCCAGAGGATGCAGGCAGGGACTCCATGGAGAGACAGAGGACAAAGGCTGGTTGTGAGCGTGGCTGACAGGCCGGCGGACAGAGAATGGTCCTACAGAGAGCGAGAACAAGGCAACTTTACTTTTATGCAATATCTGTTCTTTCTATTCCTTACATTTCCAAACAGGCTTGTTACTTTAGTTTCAATAAATTTGAGGGAAATAATTATTAATTGATATTAATATTTGCCTACCCAACATCAAGCCTGATGCATACAATGCAAAACAAACGTCAAGATGACAGACACGAGCAAGAGTTGACCCTGTTTGAAGTCTCAGTTAGCTTAGCACAGAAACAGCCAGTAGGAATGTCCGTCAGAGAAACAAAGGGAATAAGAAGAGCCTGCACCCTTTCACTTTAACTTAAGTAACTTAAGTTGAATCAGTACTTTTACTTTTACTGGAAGCTTTTTCTGAACTTCTACTTGAGTAAAGAATGTGTGTACTTTTGACACCTCTGAATCACTTTTTCTAAAATGTGTCCATTACAGATCATTAAATTATTATTATGTGTTAATGTCCGTTTTTAAACATGTTCTTTTTAAAATGTTTCTAAATGAATGAGTTATATTTGACAGCATTCGCGGCAGCTGGGGTGGACAGAAGGGTGGCAGCCCCTCTAGATCTGCCCCTGCTAAGTTTAAGCACATTTACCCACCAAAAACTCAAACTCACTTAACCCTCCTCAGTGCTTAAAACGAGACAAATCGACTATCAATGTTGCTTTAACTAAAACAGAAGACACATCCGCACATTCAACTATAATAATAATAATAACCTGTTACTAATGCACTCCGACCATCTAATTATTGTTATTCCCGAAAAACACCAAAACAAACAAACAAACAGACTCTCGCAGTTTCAGTTTCGTTTTTCTTTCTTTAAAGGTAGCACATAGTTTAGTTTCATCCTGCTGTTCATTGCTGTGTTTAGGTTTTGTTTTCAGAGTTTGTGCCCAGTTTAAGTTTCGTTTGTGAGAGTGTAAAAGCAGCTGACAGTGCAGCAGCAGAGACACAGACACCATGTTCTCATGGGGAGAGGACAGTCAGCGGGGCTTCCGGCTGAGAGACGGCTCTCTGGTCGACGGCTCAGCTGGGGACGGGGTTCAGCATCTAGACCTCGGTTATCACATCACCGACCTGTCAGCAGGACACAGTGTGCTGGCCTTCGTCAAAAGCAATGGCAACTCCTTCATCATTCGCACAAATGAGAGAAAAGACGGAAGCAGAGTCAGAGGGAAACAGAGTGAGTATATGTTCTCTATTTCTGTGTTTGTTCATGTAAAATAAGTTCACCTCTAATTACAAGGCTCTTGCAAAAGGCAGTGTTCTTATTTGCAGTATATTATTTTCCTGCTGTGCACTTTCAGAGCATGTGGACTGTAAAGAGAAGATTAAAGCAGTGAGCTGTGGGGACGATGTGGTCACACTGCTGTCTGAGAGAGGCAAAGTCCTCAGTGTGGACACTCACACTTACATTCCAAGGTAAGGAGAAACTGTGCTGTCAGTCAGTGTCCTAAATATGCAACAAAATGGGGAAAATGTGATTTTGAGCTGAGATCTTCCCTTGGATTCATGCTGGTCAGCTCTGATAAATGAGAATTTCAACTCTTGTTCTCGCAGGACTCTGGAAGCTTTATGCAACATAGCAGTTTCTCAGGTTGCTTGTGGGAGCCAGCATTCAGTTGCCCTGACCAAAGGTAAAGTAAAGTACAGTAGACCATGGTAGACGGCAAGGAGGAATGAATGTGGTACTACTGGTATTATGTGCCGTTTGCAGCTATTGTGTGTCTGAGCTTTCTGACTCCACCCTCAAAACAGTGGATAATTTATTTGTGCAGCTAAGAGTATTGAACAAAATATCTGTGTGGATTATTGATATTTCTTTTGTAATCCTCTGTTTTAAAAAAAGTAAGGCATCCACACAGGAGTAGCTTATTGGCCCTTTGCAGTCATTGGGAAATCAATAGCAGGAAATCAATTCTGTTCTTGACAACTACCAGTGCAGTTGTCAAGACATGTAGCTCTCTGCCCTTCTGCATTCGGTGCTTAGGACTAAATGAGTCAGTACTTAGACATACTGTTATCTGAACACTATAAATCCCAAAAGTTTTGTAAATTATACTATACACCAGTAGTGGATGAGACCAGGCCAAGTCCAGAATGTCAGGGAAGTGTATGAGAAAGCAGAGCACAATGGAGCTCACAAACTTATGGTGATTTCTCCACAGATGGTCAGGTGTATACATGGGGCCAGGACTGCAGAGGCCAGCTGGGTTTGGGGAAGAGGAAGGCCGGTGCCAATTCACCCCAACACCTGCGATCTCTGTCAGCGATCCCCCTGGTCCAGATCGCTGCAGGGGGAGAGCAGAGCTTCGCCCTCTCTGTCTCTGGAGGTGTGTTCGGCTGGGGCAGAAACGACTGTGGACAGCTCGGGCTGGGAGACACGACAGGTAAAATAAGCAGTCATTACAGCTAACATTTATAGACCAGTGTGTAGGATTTAGTGGCATCTAGTGGTGAAGTTGCAGACTCTAAGGTAACAGAAACACAATGAGTCTCCTTTTCAGTAGATTATGCACACTAATGAAAACATTGCTATAAATATTATATTCCATTTCTGCCAATAGATCCTCCTAAATGTTACACACTGGACCTTTAAAATATGTACAGTTTCTTTAACATGTAAACCTGAATTTTAATTTCTTTCTATAGACAGACACACTCCAACATCTGTTCGTGGCCTGCTCATGAAGAAAACTGTTCACGTTTCCTGTGGAAAGGACCACACTGCCATTTTGACAAAGGTTAGACAAAGACAGCTGCTAACAATTTCTAATAATAATAATAATACACAAAATTGTGAGTAGTTAATGAAGATTTCTCATTCCCTATAACTACTCAGAATTATTGCAATAGCATACTTCTAAGTCTTACTGGAAAGATTTTCATCACTCTTATGGTGCAACTACTAACGACATTTTATTGCTGGAAAAAGAGCACTGTCCATTTCCTCGACAACAAACATTGAAATGAAAATAAATCTAATTTACTCAACACTGACACCCATATACACATGGAATAATGAAATAGGTTTTAAATGGTCTTGCCTAGACTCTATATTCAAAGGATCTTGTGGTGAAAATATTTTAAAAGTCTTAAAAGTCAGCTTAGAAGGTCTGTTTTTGTTTCTGAAGACTGAACCAAAACTGTAAAGTCACAGAAACTAAAACTAAAACAATCAGCTGAAAGATGCTATAATGCCCCGTAGAGCTAAAGGGAACTGCAGACTTGGATGAATATTTTCTGTGGGGTCATCATTACGAGTGACATCGTTCACAAAGTAGCTTGTTGGTTTACAGATATTTATTTGTGCAGCTTTAATGTAAAAGATTAGATTTACACTGTAATATATTTAAAGTACTATGGTTGTGTGGTTGCTTCCTCAGGATGGTGCAGTGTTTACGTTCGGCTCTGGTAAATGTGGACAGCTTGGGCACAACTCATCCAGAGATGAACTACGACCTCGGCTTGTTGCAGAGCTCTGGGGGGCAAAAATCATCAAGATTGCATGTGGACGGTACAGTACATCAACTTTCATAATGCCATATTTCTGAGCCTGTTTGCCTCATTACTCTGAAAGGGCAATTCCAGCATCTATTTTTGTATGTGTTCCAATGATAGCAGTTTTTCCAAATCGACTCTCTGTGAGTCTTTCGCTGTCAGTTCCAAATAATAGAGGGAAAAAAATAAAATGTGAACTACAAAGACACTCCACCGCTGGGGAGGAGAGGCTGGCAATCATAGTTTGCATAGTTGCACCGGAATGTCAGCTATGAACTTTTAGATTATGAAATATATCCTGTTAAATGTTTCATCATAACATCAAACGACCACAACAGTGGTTCTCAACCTTTTGGAGTCTGTTTGAGTTCTTGTCGCCTGTGCTGAATGTCATTAAAGGGGTTACATCACTGACAGTTGCTTCCTGTCTTACATTCATTGCCATAGTATCTTATTTTATTTTATTCTCCACAACCATTTGGCAACCCCTGGATATTATCTTGTGACCCCTTTGGGGATCCCAACCACAGGTTGAGAACCACTACATAGGGCTCATATTAGAGTATTACATTCAAAACAATCAGGAAACTCCAGCGATGCTGTAATTTAAACCAGTTTCGATAACTAAGGATATCTTTAAGAGAATTTCATTTGATGTAAGTCAGTCAATTAATATTTATATCTCTAATGGCATTAAACATGCTGTTTGTAATATATTATCTACCCAGACATCACACATTAGTGTTGACAGACTCCAAGAAGCTCTACTCCTTTGGGTGTGGAGAGCAAGGGCAGCTGGGACACGGAGAGGAGAGTCAGTCTGTGCCGCTACCTGTTCAACTGCCACGAGGTAAATCCATTTCTTTAAAAGTGAATTAAGTAATGTGAATGCAATGAATGATTTCATGAAGGAGATTACTTTTTAATTCTATTACTGTTTCAGACCCTGCTGATGACCTTACAATTAGAAACATCTTTGCAGGAGGAAACTGTTCGTTTGCTACATGCACGCCTAACGAGGTACCATCAGAAACATTGCCATATGAATAACACGTGTTTAGACCTTTCAAACTGTGGGCAGTGCATATGCCAATCCTCCCCATTCACTTCTGTGAGGTGATGTAGTATAAAGAGCGACATGGTGGACTTTGGAGTGGGTGGATGAATCAAAAACCAAAAGTCAACATTGACTTATTTTAAGTGAAAGTCAGGGTCAGTCATTCTGGAGGAAAAAGTCGTGTCATTTGTACGAAGATTGAAGAGATTGGAAATTCATACAGCACAGGCAACGATGGTTGGACATATAATTAGAACATCAACTCAACTTGTTTGTTTCACAGGAAGCTTATGAGGAGCCCAACAACAATGAAACACAGCCCTGTCTTGAGGGCATGATTGACAGATGGACCTCTGAATGTGATTCAAAGGCATGGAAAAAGATAAAACAGTAAGTATAAGTATGTCATTTGTTGAATGGCCTGATGTTTTATGACTGCTTTTAACACTGTAATAATGTTAAATCTTCACAGGGAAATTCACAGGACATTTTCCTCTGCATCTTGTGTGAATAACAGCTTCCTAGAGCAAAGGTAAACCCAGTATCATCATCATCACTTCTTTTAATCTGGTGAATAAGAACATTTACTGGCTCCCAGATGTTCACACAGATGTCAGTACTTTTTTTTTCTTTGTGTTTTTAGAAAGGATAAACACTTCCAGACTTCCCCAAAGTACTCTGGCGTAAACTTGTCACTTGCACGAATTGCTTTCAAGAAACTGGTGAAGAAAGACAATGTTTTGGCAGAGGTATGTAACTGTTTGTAATGTGTATGAAAAGTTAATAAATATAATGAGTCTGCTAACTGATCTGAGGCTTTAAAAGAAATACCAAATAGTCCTGTTATTTTTCCCTGAACACCAACCTGAGACACTCGACATACCTGAACAAAAATGTTGGCTAATAAGTGACCCTTGCAATCCTTTTCAAACCGACAGGTTGAAGATGGTCTCCTGCACTTGCTTCGTTCCCTTGATAAGAATCCAGTGGGAGTGGAGGGGTTGAGGATCTACCTGCTTCTCAATGAGCTTCTGCACGTGATCCAGAAACACAACAAGAGAAATACAAGCACAAAGCTCGCTGAGGCAGTCGCTGCTACCGTACTGAGTTTGTCGGCTGACAGCCTCCAGGTCATAGGTACTGTCACCACCACAACATCAACATGATAGCTTTATTTTTATCTTGTGTTTTTATTATTTATTAAAGTTTTTTGTGAAATAAAACCAAATTGTGAGCTGTTTCTATTTCCATTTTTGGTACCGAAACGTTGTCCCTGACATCTGCTTAGTTGTGAAATGCTTACTTGTATTAATGTCTGCAAATCTCCATGCTGTATCCTTCAGGGGACTGGTGGTCCTCACTGTCACCCACCACCATGGTTAAACATGTGAAGGTGTGGAAGAAGGCCCTCTCAGTGATCCTGTCCTTTGAGCCTGTACCTCGCAACTCTGGAGTCAGAAACCTGCTGCGAGTCCTCCAGTATATGCACAATGTTAGTATTTATTAGCTATATTTTCTGTAAATGTCACACAGCATGATCCTAAACTTGTAATCCTGCTCTCTCTTACTACAAAACAAAGCTTTGCACTTTGTTGAACCTTTCATCTAGTAAATAAAACACTTTTTTTAAAGACCAACAGCAGGATCGCAGAACCTCGAAGGATGCCAGAAAGCGATTTTTGTTTGTTGCTTGACATACACTTTCTCGATGAGGATCTGCGGCATTGGCGTTTACGGTCACAGCGCAAGGTAAAAAAAGACATGGTTAATTATCTTGTGAGCTCATGTGCCTGTACATCAGGGGTTTGAATACACTTCATGATAGCTGCCAAGTCAATCCCTCTGTCTGTTTATGTCACCTTTCATACACTCTCTATTCATGAAAAAAATTATTTAAAGAAACTTCTGTGATGACAAAAAGTCTGTATGCCTTTTTTCACTTTTAGAACATGCATGCTGAGCCACTTGTTCTCTGTAGCTTTCCCCTTGTGATGGATCTACAGTCAAAGAAATTTGTTTTTGACATGAATGCTGAATACACCAAGGTAACTGAAGCCTTGATCTGTGCCTCATGAGCCTTTACACATAATACAGTCAGGTTCAAGAAACACACTGAAGTTAGCTGGCAGTTACATAACACAAAAATGGTAAAATAACCTATGAGAAATTAAATCTTGCATTTTATTCCAGTTTGAAACAGTTAAACGCATCGGATAGTTTATTTGGATATGGATGCTGTCTTCCACTACCTGAAGACATATTCTTTCAAATGGACCTGAAGCGGACATCGGTTTTGGAGGACACCTTTGAACAACTGGCTACTGCTGATCACAGTGACTACAAGCTGCCACTTGTGGTAAACATGTAGTTTAATCTGATAGCCATTGTATGGCCAAAGTAATTTGGTCATTTTCATTGTTAAGTTTCTCTTGTACACTGTTTCTGCAGGAAAACTTAGGTTGTGCCCTTTTGTCTTCTAGGTTTTTTTTGATGAAAACTACACAATCGATAATATTTACAGCAAAGACTTTTTTTACGAAGCGTTTCACGAGATGGTGTCACCTGTATCTGGGATGTTCATGTTCAATGACTCTGAAACGTTGGCATGGTTCCCTTCCAGAGTAAGACCTTATATCCACTACTACTAATCCAGCAATGGACTTAGAAATCATTGTATTTAATGGATTCTGCTCTGATGGCAAAGGCAATCTTAAGGTCTTACCTCATGAGCGCATATAAATCATCATCCTATATTCAAGAAATGCATACAGTAGAGTTCTGATATAAATTGTTTCTACCAGGCAACACAGGAGGACCAGCGATACTTCCAGTTCGGGGTTCTGTGTGGATTGGCTTTATACAACCAGTGCATCATATACTTGCCCTTTCCACTGGCTCTGTTCAAGAAGCTGCTCGGTGTAAAGCCTTCACTGGAGGACATGAAAGAATTCAGCCCATGTGTTGGAAAGTAAGTGTAAATTAAGGTTTATATATATTTTTTTATTATGTATTTTTTTTGGCTTTTTATTGCCTTTATGATAGTGACAGCTAAATACAGACAGGAACACGCACACACACCCTGGGCTGCCACAGCAGGATTCCAGCTCTACCCACTGAGCTAACGAATGTATATTTATATCACAGATGGTGATTTATAGTTTTTTTTCAGGCGTTAATTTTTAGTCAGAAGATACTGTAAACATTGTACATCTTCTTTGATATCTTACACATTATTCCTTTTATTGTGTTTCAAGGAGTTTACAGTACATTCTGGAAGACTGCAACGATGACGACTTACAAGACCAGGACTTGTATTTTTCAGTAGGTGTTTCACATATGGCCAATATCTCTGTAATTTATTATTTTTATGATGTGCAACTGACAATCCATTATAATGTCTCAAAGCACTGATATCACTATCTTCTCCTTTTTTACAACAGATCACCTGGGATGGGACAATGGTTGACCTTGATCCTGAAAATCCTGAAAATCCAGTGACAAGTGAAAATAAGTAAGGTTCATGATAGCATTTATTACTCTGCCCAATTTTTTGTGACACTATGAAACCAGTGAGAGTGAACCAGAATAGTGAGGTTGTGGGCTGGAAAACCAAAACAATAGCTAGAGTAGAGCATTAATAATAAGTTAATGAGTTAATAAATTAAGGTACATCTTAACTGATAAAAAACTAGACTGAAAGACTAAATAACCCACTGCACTTGGTTATCAAACAGAAATGTAATAAATAATAATAACTCCTAAATTTCTCCCAGAGGGCTTTATCAGTTGTGTAATATCTGAAACTTTTATCTGATAAACAGGAAGGAGTTTGTGAATGCCTACGTGAATCATGTCTTCAACACATCAGTGGAGGGTGTGTTTCAGGAGTTCAAGCGAGGCTTCTTCCAGGTGTGTGACCGAGATTTGGTAAAGTTGTTCCATCCAAAGGAGCTGCAGGAAGTTCTGGTGGGAAAAGACTTCCATGACTGGGCAAAGCTGAAAGAGGTACAGTCCAAAACAAAAGCAACAACAACAAATGATTATGACAGTCGTAAAACAGAAGTAATTGTAATTGTCTGTTTCACTGTAATTAGAACACAAGTTATGAGGAGGAGTACCACATTGACCATCCTACCATACAGATGTTTTGGGAGGTTTTTGATGAACTAAATGAGGATCAGAAGAAAGCGTTCCTTTGTAAGTATTAACCTGATTTGAACATATAAAAACAATTACAAATTTGAAATATATTGCAGATCTGCTAGACTAGCCTTGTTATATACACACTGAATCAAGGGAAAGCAACTAATCATTGGAATCTAATTAAGTTACCAATATTGTTTTATGGTTCATGAACCACAATCTACATTTCTCTACATTCGATATCTAGTAAGCCTATTTGGGAAAATGCACTTGTACTGGAGGTGATATTTTAGCAGCAATAGCGGTTATTTGTAATCAAGTGTTCCGTTTAGCATGAACAGCGATAACATTATGTTGGAATTGACAGTTCGACCTCAGGGGAGGGCAGTGCGTAGATCAACAATTAAGGATGCCACAAAAATAAATCAATTAAATAACAAGAAACTCACTCATAACCACTTTTTCCTCCACTAGGGTTTGTGACAGGTTTTGAAAGGGAGCCTATTCTTGGCATGGAAAAGATCAAGATGAAAGTCCGAGTAAAGGAAGTCCAGGACCTCTCCTATGACCAGTACTACCCTGAGACACAAACATGTTTCTCAGAACTGCAGCTGCCCTTATACTCAACCAAGGAGCTCATGCAAACCAAGCTGACAGAGGCCCTGAGCAACCATAAAAAAATGTACTAGTGATAGTGAGGCTATACCATGACTATTTACTGTATCTCTACTGAACAGAGGACTTAAGTTTGTAACAAAGCACTTTGTAAATGGCTGACCAAAGAGCAGCCTTTGTGGCTACTGTAACTGTGTATTAACATGATGGGTTTAAAAGTCTTTATGATATAGATGATGTGTGTGGTGGGTGTATAGCAAACATTCAAGTATATACTGTATATAAATAATTTGCAGAGATGTTTTAAGTAAGTTATTTGATTATATCTCCTCTATCACAGTGTCACCAACTTTTGGGGCCAAGTTTAACAAAATAAATGTATACAGAAAATCTTAATCCTCTGTAGAGACTGTGCATGTTTGTGGAGATGAGGGTGAAATGAGTGAACTTTCAAAACATTTGATACACACAAAATACATTCTTCTATGCATCTCAGCTATGGAATAATGGCTTAAAGTGAACATAAATATACACCTTAAGACAGAGCAAATGTTATGTTGTCAAACTGCTTTCCAGGTTAATAGTTTAATTCAACTGCAGCATCTCTTGCATATATCTAGACAATAAGACTTTGAGCATCTGTTTTTTATCCCGGTGACTGGAGAGTTTTTCATGGAACAGCAAATGTACTGCAACTGAAGAGTTCACTGCTGCGGATAGCTGGGTTAATATAAGTTGAAGTGAAATAATGCAACTCATACACATGAAATATATGATTTATGAGATATATGTTGATATGATTACCTTCTATCTGTGCTGATGGAGCCAGTACTGATAGTGGGGCCTTAAACTGTTTGGATGTATAGTGTTTAAATAGAAACAATGGGAAGCCCCACCAGTGAGCAAATAGGACTCACTCTTCTTGAAGAGCCTCTTATTTTCTTTCTCCTCCACTTCATTTATCATTTTAAATAATAAAACGACAGTCTCCCCTTTATTTTACTCTTGGACTTGTATTTTCTGTAGGCTATATATGAATATTTGTTATTGTTTTATTATTTGTTTTTCCTCCTTTGCTTTAATGTTTCGTGTGTATTTTGTGTTCAGTGATGTGTAGTGATATATATGTGGGGAAATAATAAAAATGATCATTTGAAAATACCAATGTCAGTGTGATTTTGGAGCAAAAGATTGAGAATAGTATAATGTAAGTATGTAGAACTGGTCATTACTTGGACCTACGAAAGAATAATTATCAAACAGAGTCTAAATACTATATAGCTGCTTTATTTTGTCCTCAGTATTTAATGTATGCTTAGTTCACAGACAAACCACGCAGTTGCAGCTGATGGGTAACATTACTTTATCACCACTGTTTAGTTGAAAGCCACATTGAGCATGTAGCATTAAGCACTGGATGCCTCATAACAGCAGAGAATGGACATGAGAGGTTATTCTCTGGGACATGAGTTTTACTGTAACTGTCTGACAGCTTCCAGCATACTAACCGTGAGCCAGCAGTCTTTTTCCTGTGTTGCATGTTCCAGTGGCACTTTCGTTTTTCTTTCTACAGCCCCTCCTGCTGCTGCTGACTTACTGGGCGTGTTATTTTCGTTTCACTGGGCTTTGTATGTTGTCATAAGTTTTGTTTTCCATTCCAGGTTGTATAATATTGCATAAAGAGCGAACCGAGTTTCGTTTCTGACTGACGGCGCTGAGTCATATAAATCAGCTGTCGGTCTTTCAGAGTCACTTTGCTAAAATGTTTTCATGGGGAGAGGACAGTCAGCAGGGCTTTCGGCTGAAAGATGGCTCAAAAAGAGCTCAGTCGAAAGCTGATGCAGTTCACTTTTTAAAGCTCAGTTTTCACATCGCGGATCTGTCAGCGGGTCACAATGTGCTCGCCTTCACCAAACGCAGCGGAGACGCGTTCATCATCCGCACTAACGAGAGCGAAGACGGGACAAGATCCAGAGGAAGACAGAGTGAGCATTCTTATGTCCATGCCTTTATGTTAGACTCGTCCTTCCTACAAAGATCTGGCTAAAGCAAGTTCTGTTTTTTCGCATTGATCCACTATCACCTGATGTGCTTAACGTGGTCTGTGTGCTTCCAGAGTATGTGAAATGTCCAGAGGAGATCCAGGCTGTGAGCTGTGGTGATGATGTGGTCACACTGCTGTCTGAGAGGGGCAGCGTACTCTGTGTGGACACAACTCACACTCCTTTCAATCCAAGGTAAGGACAGACAAAGTTTATGTGTCAAGTATGATATTTTATAATAATCTGCACGGTATTCATGATAGTGAACTCTGATAGTGTCTCTGGTCTCTGCCTTTTCAGGACACCAGAAGTGCTGTGCAACATAGCAGTTTCTCAGGTTGTTTGTGGGAGCCAGCATTCAGTTGCCCTGACTAAAGGTACAGTAAAGTAGTAGCCTACAGTATGCTGCTTCTAATTTAAGATTCCTTTAGCTCCTAATACAGTCGTGGACACTTGTGTCTGGGGTCTAGACAGAGACACAGAAAGTGCTAAAATAGTCCCATCCATGAGAAGTAAACATTCACATACAATACCTGTAGCTCTATCCCCTCCAACATTCATTCACTAACTATAAATTGTTGTGTAGGGAAGTTGTATCAGCCATATATATATATATATATATATATATTACTTAAAAAAACAGTAGTTTGTAAAAGGAAAACATGTCTGGAAAAGTGGCACTTATGGTGATTTCTCCACAGATGGTCAGGTGTATACATGGGGCCAGGACTCCAGAGGCCAGCTGGGTTTGGGGAAGAGGAAGGCTGGTGCCAATTCACCCCAACACCTGCGATCTCTGTCAGCGATCCCCCTGGTCCAGATCGCTGCAGGGGGAGAGCAGAGCTTCGCCCTCTCTGTCTCTGGAGGTGTGTTCGGCTGGGGCAGAAACGACTGTGGACAGCTCGGGCTGGGAGACACGACAGGTAAAATAAGCAGTCATTACAGTTAACATTTATTATAAATGATAAATGAAACAGTTTATGTAACATGTAAACCTGTTATTTTATGTCCTATAGACAGACACACCCCAACATCTGTTCATTCGCTGATCATGAAGAAAACTGTTCACGTTTCCTGTGGAAAGGACCACACTGCCATTTTGACAAAGGTTAGACAAAGACTGCTGCTAAAAATTTCATGTCGTAATCTTCCACTATTTATTGCTGGAAAAGAAAAACCACAACAGTGAGCAGTTCTACAAATGACACTAAACTGATGGAATGTGTTGTGAATAACCTCAATATTTTTTGCAAAAGAAAAATATGTATTTACTTGTTAAGTGTGGCATTAACTCACACACTCCCAACTCCAGTAAACTCAGGAAATACATAACAAAACAAAACACATACTCCTTTCTTAGATACCACAGATATTTAAATAACTTACAACAAACAATTTGTGGGACTTTGGTTGTCTGGTTTTTTCCTTAGGATGGTGCAGTGTTTACATTCGGCTCTGGTAAATGTGGACAGCTTGGGCACAACTCATTCAGAGATGAACTACGACCTCGGCTTGTTGCAGAACTCTGGGGCGCCAAAGTCACAAAGATTGCATGTGGACGGTACAGTACAAATCTTTAACTCTCATGCAATTATTATGAGCCATTAGGGCTTATTACTAATTCAGTTCAAGCACGATTTGATATTACATCTTCCAATTGTGACTGTTTCTCCTTACAAATGGCACAGTTAAATATATTTTTTCAGTTTGCCTGACCTCTTAGGTTCATCCGAGCACTTTTGCACAGCTGCATGAAAAAGGTATTACATGTGAGGCTATAAATCTTAACATTAAGAAGGGATTTCAGTTCATTGTTTCAGTTGAGAATGTCACAGAATGTCAAAGCCTCTTCCTGATTGTAACTCAGCATTTGACCACAACATTCAGCCACTGGCTCATATTCTCAGGTTGTTGCATTTCACATTCTTTCTGCTGTCCAGGCCTCATTCCATCAACAGCAGTGAAATTAGTTCACTAGCTATAGTCTGGTAAAATGGATGTTTGGAGGCTGCGAAAAGTCTGAAAAAGCAATCTTTGTTGACATTTGAATATTGTTTGTGCAATATGTTTTCTCAATCAGACAACACACATTAGTGCTGACAAACTCCAAGAGGATCTACTCCTTTGGGTGTGGGGAGCAAGGGCAGCTGGGACATGGAGAGGAGAGTCATCCGTCCGTGCCGCTACCTGTTCGAATGCCACAGGGTAACTACACATCTAAAATAATTCGATTGACTGATAATAGGATATAACAGGAAAATAACAGCCATTGATATGCAAAGAGAGATCGGCCGCTGGTTCCACTGGTTTCAATTATTTTAACTTGGTTTCTGTGAAAGCATGTTTTGTGTGTTAATTTGGCAGAACTCAGTATGCAACGATCCTCATGAATCACAAGTGCCATTGCTATGGATAAGAAGGCGTGTCAGTAGGGAATTGAAGCTCTTTTTAATTGTTCTCAACTATGATTGAACTTGGAGAGTTTAATGCTGATCCAAGCCATAGAAGTGTTCCAACTGAGTCATATAACATCATCTATGGGGAAAAAGAATAGGACTTTTAATTCTGGAACCAGGAGCTGTCACGACTGAACTATGGACCAGAACCCAAATGCACAACACTCAGACGAAAGTTTCAAAATAAAGTTTTTATTAACAAACAAAAAATCACTCTTACGAGGTAATACTAAGACTAAGAAAACAAACAGAAAATCACTCTTAAACAAACAAAGTAACAAAACAACAAGACCTGACAATGGTATAGATAAAGCGCTGGTTCTCTGACACATGGGACAAGATGAACTGGCACAGGACAAAGGGAGACACGGACTATATATATACACACAAGGTAAGGGCACAGGTGGAAACAATCAGGGCGGAGACAGGTAATCCCAAGAGCGGGAAAACAGACAAAAGGGAGAAAGTAAAACTGGTGACAAGAGACAGACAGGAAGTGGAACCAAAATACAACTGAAATCACAAGACAACATAGACACAAGACAAAACTGAATGAATTAACTTAACAAAGTTTCCTTCACATGACAGGAGCGCCCAAAATAGCTCCTCCCACTTTGCACATTTCCCACCCAGGGAGGTTTAGCTGCATATTGTCAACATAGCAATGATACAGGATGTAGTATTTTCTAAAAACAGAACCCAGTGGCAGCATATATAGTGAAAATAAAATGGGGCCTAAAATGGAACCTTGTGGTACACCGTAAGTACCAGAATAGGATACAAATCTAAATCTACTAAGGCCTTATACTGAATACGTAGCTGTACTTGTTTGAGACAGTCCAAGGGTATAGAATGGTCGACTGTCAACTGAGTAAATCATCCCATACAGTCAATTTATGTCAAGATTACACATAACTTTTATTCTATTATTATTTCAGACACTACTAATGGTCTCATAATTAGAACCATCTACGCAGGAGGAAACTGTTCGTTTGCAACATGCACGTCTATTCAGGTACCAACACAAATGCATACAATACAGACCATAACTGCAGGAGGTGTAATAATACAAATATTTATATAGTATTTTTTCATAACCAAACATGTCTTGTTTCTTTCACAGGACGTTCAGGAGTCAAACACTGACAGCGTCAACAATGTAACAAAGCACTCTGTTGATGATATGATTGACAACTGGAACTCTAAATGTGATTCAAAATCATGGAAAAAGATAAAGCAGTAAGTATAATGCAGGAGCAGGTACTATTATCTCAAACTGTTAAATAGTCTAATGTTTGTCTGCAGAGCCATTAACACTGTATTCTCAGTGTTATTAACTAACCATACAAAACTTTCCCAGGGAGATCCACAGGACGTTTTCCTCTGCATCCTATGTGAACCAGTGTTTCCTTGACCAAAGGTAAACACCATCATGTGTATGATCTTTACTTCTTTGTATCTGTACATTACATTTACACGTACTTTTTGTTTTCATAGCAAAGATCAACATTTCCAGACCTCACCAAAGTACTCCGGCTTGAACTTGTCACTTGCACAACTTGCTTTTGAGAAACTGGTGAAGAAGCAGGATATTTTTGCAGAGGTATGAAACAAAAATGTGACTGTATGTTTGGTAACTGATCAGTAATTGACAAGGGAGATTGTGTTTACTTTCCCAACCATTTAGTAATACTCTCCTCAGTTGTTAAGTTGTCTTTTCTCAACAGGTTGAGGCTGCTGTTTTGCAGTTGCTTCCTTCTCTTGATGAGGAACCAGTGGGAGTGGAGGGGTTGAGGATCTTCCTGCTGCTCAATGAGCTTCTGCATGTGATCCAGAGACACAACAGGGGGAAGACTGAGCTTGCAGAGACGGTTGCTGCTGCCATACAGAGACTCTCTGCTGAAAGCCTCCAGGTCCTAGGTACTGTGAGAAATAACTGTATGAAAGTTTGAGAGGCCTCGTTTATCATTAATCACAGGCTCATGTTAATGGTGTGCTTACCAGACCTACAGTAAAAAAGAAGTGTCGACCAGCTTATAATAATGTTGTCACTTTCTGAACTGGTCATTGGCAAAATGAAGAACATTTAATGGATGTACTTTGACGATGCACAATTACCCATAAGGATCATGTTGTAGCCTGTTAAGAAATATATTGTAAAATAATGTCCAGGTTGAGAAATACCAAAGTTACCCTTGTCTGCAACTCTCCATGCTGTCTCCTTCAGTGGACTGGTGGTCTTCACTGTCACCCTCCACTATGGTTAAACATGTGAAGGTGTGGAAGCAGGCTCTCTCCGTGATCCTGTCCTCTCAACCTGTACCTCGCAACTCTGGAGTCAGAAACCTGCTGCAAGTCCTCCAGGATATGTACAATGTTAGTATCGGTTGTCTTTTCCTGGGAATTTCAAACCAAACCACACCAAACTTCAACTTTTCTACAATTTTACTATTCTATTTCCTACCAGTCTTTCACCTAATTACCACTACCTAAATGTACTTGTTTTTTATAGGCCAACAACGGGATTGCAGGATGTCAGAGAATCCCACAAGAAACTTTTTGTTTGGAATTTAACGAAACATTTCTTGAAGAGGATCTGAGGCTTTGGCGTTCAATGACAAATGTGGTAAAAACCTATTTTGAACCCATTGCAGGATGGCAGTCTAGTCATTCCCTCTTTCTCTCTCTCTTTCTGTTCATCCTCATTTAAACACCAACATTTGTAAAAAAAAAAAAAAAAGTTTTGTAAGTATCGATATGTTATTGTTTTTTTTCAGCCACTTGTCGTTTGTAACTTCCCATTTGTGATGGACCTGAAATCAAAGAAAACGGCTTTTGACATCAATGCTTCACACACTCAGGTAACTGGGACTTTGGCCTCTTGGGAGACAAGTCAGAGTCATTAGGAAATTTCCAGTCAATCAACTTTTATCAGTGTATCCTCAATGTTTTAATGTGAAATACTGGGTGTCTTATCATGTTAACAAAACAGTTATATATACATATATTAGCAATTAATCTTATAATAACATGTAATGCCAAGTTTGCCATATCACCTTATGAGTTTATTGTATGTCAGTGCTGTCCAAGAATGTATGCAGCTTTAATTATTAAAATCCACTTTATTACATCACATAATGTAATTAAGATATCAAAAATGATTTTTAAAAATACAGTTTGAATTGTATTACAGCAAGCACACCAGACAGCCCAACAGCCGGTCTATATGTGGCCTTTTGGATGGATTCCTCAGTCAGAACACAACTTTTTTGAACTGAAGCTGAAGCGAGCTGCACTTTTTGAAGGCGCTGCCACACAACTAGCCACTGCTCAACCCAGTGCCTTCAAGAAGCCACTTGTGGTAAATATCTAGTTTTGAACTGGTGGTTTAAGCATAGCAAATATTTTGTTCTAACTCTCAGCTATGCAACAGGAAGAATTATAACCTTTTGTCTCTCAGGTCTACTTGGATGAGGACTCAAAACTCACGGATGTCTACAAAAGGGACTTTTTTCACCACTTGTTTAAGGACATAGTGTCAGCTAAATCTGATATGTTCTTGTTTGATGACCGCAAAACCCTGGCATGGTTCTCCTCCAAAGTAAGACTGCATATCCTCTTACAGGAACAGTATTTTAAAATGTAGACTATTCACTGTGTTTCTTGATTTCTTGCTAATGATTATAAGCAACAATGGAACAATTTGCAGTTTTTGTTTTGCAGTTGAGGAATCATACAAATCTTATGTACATTCAAACAATTTCCAGAGATTTTCATTCTTTCTACTTTTATCAATTCAGGCAACAGAGGAGAACAGGACAAACTTCTTCCTGTTTGGGTTTCTGTGTGGATTGGCCTTGTACAACCAGAGTATCATGTACTTACCTTTCCCACTGGCTCTGTTCAAGAAGCTGCTCGATGTAGAGCCAACACTGGAGGATATGAAAGAATTCAGCAGTGATGGAAAGTCAGTGCTCATCTAAATTTAGGAATACAAATTGATAGCTTTACATTGTGATGCCTGAAAGGTCACAGATTGTAAAATACTGTACAGTTAGCAAGTCAACTTAATATTAACTCAGATTTTTGTTTTTCAAGGCGTCTGCAGGACATCTTGGACTATGAAGATGATGTTGTAGAAAACCTCTGCCTGTCTTTTTTGGTTGGTTCTTTTACTCCACCCATGATCTGCCTCATTTATCTTTATTACTTTGTTGCAGTGACATCACTTACCTCTTCTCTTTCATAATTCATTAACAGATTAACTGGGATGGGGCAGAGGTCGACCTTGATCCTCAAAACCCGGAAAAGCCAGTGACGAGTCAAAATAAGTAAGACTGTAAAAATATTTAATCCTAAATTGTACATGTGAGCTGCGACCAGGTCAGCTCTCTCTCAGAGAAATGTCTGTTGAATTGAAACTGTAATTTGATAAACAGGAAGGAGTTTGTGGATGCCTACGTGAATCATGTCTTCAACACATCAGTGGAGGGTGTGTTTCAGGAGTTCAAGCGAGGCTTCTTCCAGGTGTGTGACCAGGATGTGGTGAAGCTGTTTCAGCCAGAGGAGCTGCAGGGAGTGCTGGTGGGCACAGCCGACTATAACTGGGCAAAGCTTAAACAGGTACACAGTTTTCTCTGAAACTGATTAAACACATCCTCACTTGATTGATTAATCTAACATTTTAATTGTATCGTTTCTCTTTTTTTTTTACTTAAATTAGAACACAGTTTATGAATGGGTATATCATGCTGGCCACCCCACCATAAAGATGTTTTGGGAGGTTTTTGATGAACTCACTGAAGAGCAGAGGAAGAATTTCATCTGTAAGTATTGTACCTAATGTTAATGAATGAGCGAAAGGTTAATGGGGCAGCTAAAACACACAAAGATTGCAGTCACAGTTACGGTTGCCAGCCGCAGATTAACAGTCTGTACTCATCCCCACCACTCAAGAGGACCGGGACCATGAGATGTTTCCCATAGAACCACGATGATAATTCTACTTACTTCTACAATTTGTTTTAGTGTTTACTCACAAACTACTTCAGTCTGCTCACCTTGCTTTTCCCTTCAGTTCTCTTTTTCTTTTTTCACCCATAATTCTGTTTTCTGAGGAGGAAGCTTGTTGTTGGGCTTATGTGTGGGAAATACTTATTAGGTTTCAACCTGAAAGAAAACAAACAAAAAATATAACATTCTAATACTGATTTGGATGTTGATTACCATGGCAACAGTCGAAGCTTTGAAGCATTCGGGTCAGCCCTGCAGTTGATACAGAGCAGTGAGGCAGTTTCCCACTTTACCCCCACACCCCTACTTTTCCCCTCACCACAAAAATAATGCTAAGTGATTATATTAATGATGGCTCTGTTCCACTGAAGCATCCCAGTAAGGCAGCATGAACAGAAACAGGGCACAGGACCTTGAACACCTAAATGGAATGCAGCCATTATTAACATCATTAGTTACCTGTGCTGTTTGTAAGCAGTGAGTGAGCAATCGAGAGTAATTCTATTTATTATCATTATTGTTAATCGTCATCCATCCATCCATTCAAATAAATTACTGCTGCACAAAAATGGTAACAGACAAAAAGTAATTTGAAGATTCCTACTTTGTCTTCACGGGTGTTCCTCAGGGTTCCTGACTGGTTTTAAGAGGGTTCCTGTTCTTGGCATGGACCAGATCCAGATGAAGGTTCGAGTTAAGCAGCTCAGCCATGGCGACTCTTACGATCAGCACTCCCCAGAGTCTCTGACATGTCACTCTATTCTGTACCTGCCCTTATACTCAACCAAGAAGATCATGCGAGACAAGCTGACAAAGGCCCTGGTACCAGTGAATGGATTCCTGATGTGATGGTGGACCAACAGTTGCTGGACAGGAACTTGGACTGTATCTATGCAGGGAAAGGGTGGCCTTGTTATTTTCATTTTATTTTACCTTATCACCTTTCCTGGGGAATCTTAGATTTAAAAAAAAACACTGTACTGACTTGATCTTGTAAGAGTTTACTTTAAAAACTATGATTAAAATGCAGCATTTGCAGCTATTCCTCCATAATAGCACGACAGTGTAACAGCATAACTGAAGACACTTTGAAATTCTGTGACTTTTTGTTATAATATAACACACTATAATTTAACCTTTTTAACTTGTGCATTTTACATTTTCTCAGGAACAAAGTCTGTTTTTATGTGATTTAAGTTTTGAGCTTAAGTTGAAATAAACAAAAATAGTATATTTGTATTTATCTTTGTAAAGATTATAATGTGCTGGCAGATTTTGTGTCAGAGAGGTGTCATTTAAACTATATGGTCATCTTAGTTTACACTTTATGGTTCTCTTGAATTGTATAATATATACTGAAAGGAGTAAATGGGGCTCGACAAAATATTGTTACTTTAATCAGAAAAGCCAATCACTGTGTGTAAATTAAAACTTCCTTCCTGTTTGTAATGACTGTATTTTATGAATTTGTCACATGTGAAAATGTTTGAGCGATAAAAAATATGCAGTATATTCCTCTGTTTGTCATGTGGGAAAAAAGAGAGTTGGCTCTGAGCTTACCTGCATCTGTTGGGTGTCAGTGAATCACTACACGCTGCAGCCAGTGGCTCTGAGGTTATATCATCTGAGGTCAATATTATGTGCTGGAATCAAACACAGATTTTGTGTTTCATACTAGTTATACAGCATCAAAGTAGTATGTATGTAATGTGGAAGTATGTCTGGTTGGCAAAAATGAATGTAGACAGGTTTACTCCATATTATATGCGTGATTATTACTTTATATGATAGTGAAGAAATAAATTGAGGTACTATGCAGTCTATTCAGTGTTCCACAGTCCTGGTACTACCACCAGAGGGCACCAAATCAAAACATTTCAATATTCTTTTTTTCCTCTATTTTTACAGTATGTGTTATTGAACAACCAGCAGCATAACTACCATATATGCAGGTGATGCCGTTGCATAAGGGGCCGCAGCAGTTCAGAGGCCATAACGGTCCACTCGTATCTGCACCGCTGCCATAATCTAGATTGACATAAGCTGCAGCCAATGAATTTACACGTTGTCGCAGGAGGTATTTATAGTAACAGTGAGCTAAGCCCCTTATTCAATGGCCTCATCTCACACTTTTTAGTCATTCACATTCATTAACAACACAATAACATGAAACACTTTACTGACTCAAACTTCTACAGTATGTACATTTATGTTGTATATATAAATATATAAAATATATGTTTATAGGGCCTATGAGCAGACATTAAACATTTAATGACAGTAATGTGAATGTTGTGCACTGTCACTGATCATCATCATTTTTCATGTGTCATTGTGCGCCTTCACTAATTGGATCATGTTTTCAAATGTGTCACGGTGTGCTGCCACCACTTTAGTTAAGTAGTCTAGTCTATCTTAGCCTTTCTATTATGACTAATCTTCTATAGCCCAGCTGTCTGTTTTCACTTAATTTAGCTGTCAACTGTGCAGTGCATTTTGCTGTTACTGGCCATTTTAAAGCTGCATGCTTTCACTTCTTTTATTCACTACTGACATTACGTCATGTTACAAGGCCCGCTTTGTTCATCTTATGTTGTGGCCCAGCACTGACTTGTGACGCTGCTGTGAAGCACCTATGCTGATTATACATGTACAATTAGTGCCACATTTCTCTATGTTTTTTATATAACAACAAACCTACCTAAATCCTACTCACTGGTCCTTTAAAGGACCGCTTTAATTCATAAGGACACAGTCAAATGACAGACACAGCAGGGTGACACAGTCAAAAGAAAGGTAGAGCAAGAAGACGACAGAAGTAGCCCAAATTGAATCGACACAGACACATTTTTTGTCAGCTGAGCAATAGAAATATCTCATTGTTAAAAAAGCTTTGTCACAACTGAAGTACAGTTCAAAGTACATATACACTGGTTCAGTGAACATAGACAGTGTGCATGTGGCATCAATTTGGCACAAATGGAACTCCATACTGAAGGGAACAATGTTAAGAGACATACCCTAGGGTAGAAACTGCTGCTGCTGTCACATGCATTGTGTTTGATTCTTGTTCTGTTTCCTTAGATATGAAACAGAAAGGTGTGTGCGTGTGTGTGTCTGAGAAAGAGAGAGTGAGATTAAAAACCCCAAACCGTATAAACTCTGTCCTTTGTCTGTACTGTGTGCTGGGAGTGTTTGGCGGGCAGGTAGATATAATGTCGAAATAAAAGCAAAGGACCACTAGATGGCCCCATTATTCTGCAGAGTGTTTGCTTCAACGAAACAAAGAGCAGCTGGGATGAGATCATCAGGCAGACTAGTGCAGACTTTTCAGTATAACAATGCTTGAAATCTCAAATCTACAGATGACAACACAAAGACATTAAATCCAGCCAATTCAAGAATGTGACAGTCAGTGTGAGGTGATGCTACATGATGTGCTACCAGAGAAATAATCATGGAAACAGACTGACACACAAAAGAAACCCCAACTTACATTTAGCCTACATGACGAGATCATTACATACTATCTGACGCACTGTAAGTAGAGATAGTGAGGTGACTTTTCCTCAAGATATTCCAGCCAACTAGAGGTATAAATAAAACAACTTTTTTGTTTTTATTTCCGTCGTGGCCCCGAGTCTTCTGCGTGAATTCCGCCCAAATGAATAAAGTCATTATAGAAACATCTTAGGAATGCAAGTTATAATGTATGTTGTGCCAAGTCTCTCTGCGCCTGCCCGGTATGTAGAGGAACAAACACATCAGTCCGTTATATAATTCCTCGGACTTCATTCAGTTATTTTCCTCTCTCCACTGCGTACGAGAGGCTCGCGCCCGTTGGCTGCTGCTGCGCCGCGGGAGCGAGTTGGAATGTATTGACGTCAGAAGGAAGCTGGACACACACGCGCGCGTACGTACGTGCACGCGCGCGCACTGGATGTTCCGTCCCACTTCGTGTTGTGTTTGTGCGCGCGGTCACACAGCTCGAGACTGTGGGATGAATTGAGGCGGGCGGACGGTCAGGAGAAAAGTATGTGCACACATGGACCGCGAACATGGAGGATTATGAAAGACAACGAGACGGCGGCGCTGTCATTTCCTACGACTGAATTCAGCGGTGACACCAAGTGTGAGGCTGTGTTGTGACCGAAACAAGCGTTAGCGGAGCGGCACGCAGCTGCGGGATATTCGCACAACAATGGTAAGTTGGCACCGGGCTTACTGTGTGTTCAGCGCTGCCTCTGGTCCGGCAGCGGCGGCAGTAGTGTGCTCCTGCGGCGCTGTCAGTGTCAGTGAGGTTGTTGGTAGCGTTTGTTTGGAGGTGGTGAGCGGCAGTCAGGAGGATGACTACATGCGTATGTGACAACTCGGGACTGCAGTTGAGGCCAAGTGGAGAACAGCTGGCCTCAACACAAGTGTAACAGCCCGTAGGCAAGATTACGCGGTGTTTTGGATCTGATAAAACTGCACAGCCAAGGATATCAGCGCATATTAACACGGCGAGGCCTGCCTCTGTCCACTTGGCCCAGTGGAGCTGTGAGAGGGGCTTTAAACACGTTGAAAGCGGCTGCTGTTGTCTTTAATGGCAGTAGTGATGCTGCTATATATAGTGACAAGTAAGCGATGATGAGGATGAGCAGGAGAAGTTGACAGTGGTAACTGCATTGATGATGACCATGGTAATGAAGATGATGATGGCAGCTGAACTTGTTACCCTGGGGAAGGTCTGATGATGACATCATCAGGTCTGATGCCACCTTCTGACCCTCTTAGCCAAACTAATGACACGCAAACACACATTCACGTGCACATACACACATACATACATTATGGTTTCTTGTTACAGTATTGATTTGGCATGCCATTTGTGCTGGATGGGTGTTATTTGAGATAGAGCCAATCACAGCCCATCACAGACAATAAAAGAATATTTTATCCTCTACTGCTCTCATTGTACTATAATTGTATACATTGTAATCTAGTCTTCACCACTTCATTTAAACGTGTTCTGTCCTCTCTGCCTTTGTTAATAGATGTGAAATATCAATCTATTTCTGGTCCAGTGCTTGAAGGGATGAGGCATTGGCAGCAGCTGACCTCATCTAAGCCCTTTTCCCTTTGGGCCAAAGGCCAAAATCATCAGCACTGTCATTTTGCCTCATTATGTTGTTCTTTCTTTGTCCTGCCAGGCGACTCCCCACCACTGAGGAACTTTACTGGACTGCACCCCCCTCCTCCCTCTGTCCCCGACACCTGGACACAACTATTTCCTGTCTCCTTTTTCCTTTTACCAACCTCTTGAAGCCTTCCAAACTGCCTCTACCCCCCTCCCTTCCAAATCTCCTCTTGGTTTCAAACATGGACTCCTCTGGAGAAATCCCCTCAGCCCAGGATGAACATCTCAGCCCCAGGAGCAGCCCCAGCCGCTCTGATCTCAGTGGACTGTACCATCTGGGTCGGACGTTGGGCAGGGGGCACTTTGCTGTGGTTAAGCTGGCTCGTCATGTCAACACCGGGCAACTGGTTGCTGTCAAGATGATTGACAAGACAAAACTCGATGTCATGGCAACAAGCCACCTCTTACAGGAAGTGAGGTAAAGAATAATTATTCTGGAAGATGGGGGTTGTGAATGAAAGAGCACTTTGTACTTTTTTTTAGATCAGATTTAATGGGATTTTAAACAGACATGTTGATTGTTTGTAATCCCTTTGAATCTCCTCTGAGCCAAAAATGGAACAAAAAAAACTCCTGTCTACATTTGAAGCCGCCCTGAAGGAGTTGCACCACTCAAAGCATCCTTATTGAAAATTCAGCTAATATTCTTAGCCCGTTATCTCACCATCATTACTAATTATTTTCAGGTGTATGAGGCTGGTGCAGCATCCCAACGTGGTCCGCCTCTACGAGGTCATCGACACACCCACCACCCTCTACCTGGTCATGGAGCTGGCCGAGGGGGGCGACCTCTACGACTACATCCTCCGCCATGAGGGAGGCGTCGCTGAGGGCACCGCCAAGCGACATTTCGCACAGATTGTGCGTGCTGTGGCGTACTGCCACCAGCTCCACGTGGTGCACCGGGACCTGAAGCCCGAGAATGTGGTGTTCTTTCCCCAGCAGGGGGCGGTGAAACTGACAGACTTTGGATTCAGCAACTTATTCCAACCCGGGACGATGTTGGCCACCAGCTGTGGGTCGCTGGCATACTCCGCTCCAGAGATCTTGCTGGGAGAAGAGTATGATGCTCCAGCTGTGGGTGAGAAACTGAATTTGTTATTCTTTTATAACTGACCTGTTGGTCTAGATCCAAACCGTCAAATCTGAAAAGCAGAAAATACATACTTGTGCTATCAAATTGTGTTTATTTTGTCAGACTTTCCTCTAGACTTCACTTATTTTCTTCTAAATTACTGGACATTTGGAGGACTCTTTTTAAATTGGTCATGACCGGCAGACATAAGCAACCAGTGACGAGGGGTCACAACTAGTTGACATCTCTTTGTTTAAGAGGTCACAAGCTAAAAATGTTTGGAACCAATGGCTTAGATAAGCAAGTTTGTGGTGCTGATGCTGACATTACACATTCAAATAATAGCCAGCGGTTGTGTGCAACATCAAACATTGTCATGTTCTCAGATCAGCAAAATCTGTCTAAATTTAAGTGAATACATCCACTTTAACATAACCTATGTAATTCACTTATTTCCCACCCTGAACAGAGCAATCTTACCTCAAGGTCCCTTTAGTAGCTGTTCTGGAGCTTTCAATCGTTTGCCACGATGCTAATCAGAACCTTTAACAGAGTTTGCCCAGTTGTCCTGGAGCACTTTAAGGACTTGACATGCTTACATAGAGTAGTTGACAAAGCTTTCTTACTTTAAGGTCCATTTAGTAGCTGTTCTGAAGCTTTCGATTGTACTACACTATAAGCAGATGAGGTGAAGTTTTTTTGTCGTGCTGTTTACAAAGTTAAGAATGATTGTTTGTGTTTGTGCCTTTTTGCATGAGCGTGTGTGTGTGTGTGTGTGTGTGTGTGTGTGTGTGTGTGTGTGTGTGTGTGTGTGTGTGTGTGTGTGTGTGCATTCATCACTTTCCCTATGTGTGGCCACATTTGTCCCCTTGACCCTGCGTATGTATTCCTGTGTATTTTCTTGTATCTTACTGTGTGTGTGTTCCTGCTCTGTATACCCATCCATATTTATGTGCTTGTATGTGTTTGTGCCTGTGTGTATGTATGAATCTGTGTGTGTGTGTGTGTGTGTGCCGTAAAGGATTAGTGTGTGTATCTGGGTCAGTCTAAGCAAGCCAGCCAGTCATGAGCCAACTGGGCACGTTCTGCAGTGGAACCAAACACTGCAGCTCAACACTGGGTTCTCACACTGCATAGCAAGCATTTATGTATGAGTGTGTGTGAGAGAGAAAGAGAGATAAAGATAGAGACTGATAGCAAAAAAAGGAAGCCCCAAGCATCACTTTTTTTTGGGGGGGGCACACAGCTTGATCAGTTCATGGAGGTTGGTGGTCTTATCTGCTAAGCTGGACTAGGCTGGATTTTGGCTGTGTTTGGGTGCTATTTATTCTGGTGACTACAAAGAATCTGCACTGAATACAAATGTATCCCAACTGCAATTAGGAGCTGTTCTTGTGGAAGGACATGTACAGCATTTGATTTTGTTTAAAGGCAATACGGCCTATGGCAAGGATGCATTGTAAATGGAAAGTGATATATAAGTAAAGTGTTATTTCAGAAACTTGAATTTTCTTTTTCCCATATTACCTTGCAATGTCGTCTGCTCGTAATGGTCTCGGTGGGATGGCACCCATATAAAAAATAGTGCTGATGAAGAAACACTGCTCATATGCATCCATAAATTCAACATGACTCATGAGCTACATTAGTTCCTTTTTCTCATGTTAGTTCCTGTTTCTAAAAGCGTCCACATGAAGGGCGTCCATTTAAACCCATTTGTGTGTGTGTGTGTGTGTGTGTGTGTATTATTACATCCTCCAAGACTGTTTTCTGCTTCACTTCAACTCAAGTGCACTTTTTTGTTCTATTTTACTCTGACATGACTCAACCTGTGGTCGATATATGATTATATCATCACTTTGATAGAAATGCACACTTCCATTACCCCCACACACACACCTATAAGTACACGTGTGTGATAATCCTGAGCTGCACAGAGGAAGAGATGTCCCTTAGTGATCTCAGCTTAGTAAGGTGACTCATAAACCCGTCTCTACACACTCACTCACACACATAGACCGTTCTGTGTGTCTCTTTGATATTTCTGTCTATAAACAGACTGCTGTTTAATTCACTGCAGTGCCTTCTCCACTGGGAGTCTTTACAGTATATGTGTGCTCTGTTTGAGGACATTGTGTGTGTGTGTGTGTGTGTGTGTGTGTGTGTGTGTGTGTGTGTGTGTGTGTGTGTGTGTGTGTGTGTGTGTGTGTGTGGGTGATAGTCATATGATTCGGTGGAGAGACAGGAAGGTCCACAGGGCCTCTTGCCTTTGACAAAGATAAACACTGCCTATAGTTACATAATATCGGCCAATTACTGTGTGCATGCATGTGTGTACAGTTTTTGAGGTCAGAGTGTTAATGTTAGGCTTCGCTGATGAAAAAATGACTTTAAGTCAGCGGTACATGCTTGCCTGCTAATGCTACATATTTGTGTTGTCCTGTATCTTGGCCAGATAGTTTTTTTATTCATTTAGTGATTTGCACTTAAGATTTGGATAAAATTGACTCAACCTGGCTCATCATATAACAAGAAGGCCACAAGTTCCAGTTTGTGTAGATATGACAACTGGTGAGTTATGAAAAGTTGGCAATAAAGTTACGGAACTGTCAGATAAGAAGGGAGGGAGACCTAAATTGGTTAAGTACGTTCTGTGTGGGAGGAACTTCTGCATTTGGCAGATGCTGTGAGCCTCTCTGGGCGTCAGCGACTCACTGTTATTTACTCAGGAGACATTGTGACGTGTGGTTACAATGGAAAGATAAATCCTAAAACATATTAACTTTAAGAAAAGCAGATGATGGTGATGTATTTTGTGTTTTTGCACCTATTTTTTTTTATGTGGTCCAGTTGTCTTATGCAGACAGTGTCTGTGTCCCTTTAATATGTTTTTAGTGCAGCAAGAGTTTTATGGGACAAAAAACCTGCTTTCTAAAATTCTAAACCAGTAAACGGCAAGTTTTGGTCAGATCCATTATTTAAAGAAGATTCACAAGATGAAGAAGATGATTCAAAATAAGACCGTCACAGTAATGAAGTCTGAGGTCAAGTTGGGTTACAGCTCTCTGATGTGCTTTCCAATGTCCATAAAGTGTGATCTGTTAAACCACAGCAAAAAGTTTCATTTAGAATAAAGACTTTCCGTGCCTCCTCTTTTTCTGGCCGCCACGTCGTATACACGGCTTGTCTCTCAGCTCCAGGGTGGAGGGTGACGGTTGCTTGTTGCCCAGCTGGGAGCAGCACATGTAGAGCCCCCTAAACATCCCATTTTAGATCAAGGAATCGTTGGATAATCTGAGAGGTTTTTCAGAAAAAAACTCTTTGTCTGTGTTTTCATATAAACCTGAAGGCGGCTGGTTTGTTTATATCAACAAGGACTTTTCCAGACCTTGCAAAGCCCAGAACCAGCACACCACTACTAGACATGGTGGAGATAATAAAAACAGTGCAGAGAACAAATCATCAGTGTTGGGCAAGCTACTTGGAAAGTGTAGTGAGCTGAGCTTCCACTTACTCTACATTAAATGAAGCTTCACTTCACTGAAGCTAGCACACAATGTAAAATGTACAGTGGCAAAAACAAGCACCTTTAGTGGATGTACTTTGAAAGGCGCTTTTTTCTCCAAGCATTAACTAACATTACATAGCAGCCATAGAAGCCCATTTCACATCTATTTTCTTATCTAACTCTTTAAAATAAGGGTTTATTTCAACCAGGGTTGTAGTTGTTGGAAAAAGTAACAAAGTTGTTTTTGGTGAGTTTTATTTAGGTTTTTATTTTGTTGTTACTTTGCTAGGTAAAATTACTGGTTTTGTCAATGGAGTCTGGTCTGCCCATTGTCTGAGATACTGGTGCTATTGTGTGACATAAGTGTAAATATGTATATACACACACACCCATTAGCCTGGTGGTCATAATGTTCTGCAGCCCCATACCAACAAACTGACACTGTGTGTTCTGACACCTTTCTATCAGAACCAGCATTAACTGTTTCAGCAGTTTGAGCTGCAGTAGCTCGTCTGTTGGATCGGACCAGACAGGCCAGCCTTCGCTCCCCTTGTGCATCAATGAGCCTTGGCCCCCCATGAACCAGTCTCCGGTTCACAGTTTTTCCTTCCTTGGACTTCTTTTGATGGGTACTGACCTCTGCATACCGGGAACCCCCCACAAGAGCTGCAGTTCTGGAGATACTCTGACCCAGTTGTCTAGCCATCACAATGTGGCCCTTGTCAAAGACGCTCAAATCCTCGCGCTGCCCATTTTTCCTGCTTCTAACACATCAACTGGAGGACAAAATGTTCACTTGCTGCCTGATATATCCCACCTACTGACAGGAGTCATGATAACCAGATAATCAGTGTTATTCACTTCACCTGTCAGTGCTCATAATGTTATGGGCTGATCAGTGTATGTGAAAACAGTTATATTCTGTGGCTCTGCAGGACAAAAAATAGCCCTGTGACATCATGGGTAATTGTCTAACCCCATAAGAGAGTTAGGGAAGCCAGTTTTACAAAGTTGGTGCATAAAATCTGTCTCAAGCCCCCCAACTGTATGAGGAGTGCCCTGTTAATTTTAAGAAAAAAATCAGCTTCTTACAAGATCAGAAGAGCTGTTTTAAGAGACAAATCTCTCTCTCTCTCTCTCTCTCTCTCTCTCTCTCTCTCTCTCTCTCTCTCTCTCTCTATACAGTGTATATATATATATATATATATACTCCAAATAGATACTCCAGTTTTGGTCTCAAAATGTGGGGAAAATAGGGCTGCATTTTTTTGTCTGAATTTAGAGGGCCCGTTGGAACGAGGCTGGCTTTGTTGACCCTTTGTGACGTATTTGGTCTTGAAATGCGCACTTCAGAGGCAACCCCTAAAAAGAGCCACAGCCAACCATAAAACCAGGAACAAGCTTTTAGATCTCGACATTTATGTAGTTTAACTGCTTATATATATATATATATATATAAACTGTGTGTGTGTGTGTGTGTGTGTGTGTGTGTGTGTGTGTGTGTGTGTGTATGTATGTGTGTGTGTGTCCAGAGTTGATGTTTGTGCTGTCAGCAGGCCACTAATGCATGGTGAGAATGTGTGATATTCCCCAGCGAGCAGAGAAAAGTACACTCCCAGCACTCACTGGCTTCTCCTCCTTGTTGCATAACGCTTCTCTAGACTGAAATGAGTGTACATTGTATGATGAGGACTGAGGGCTGTTGTTTGGACCATCATGAGTATCATGTGGGACAATGGCTGAATGTTGGGGACTGGTATGTGTCAGATTCTGTGCATAGATATGGGTCTGAATGAAGTGCACTATTTGGATTTTTATTGTGTTCTGAAATAGAAATAGATTTCTAAATCCCCTTATAGCTGATCTGCTTTGGACATTATAGTGAAAAAGTGTATTCACTAAGGCAGGTGTTTTGAGAACATGTGGAATTTTGTCAACTTTTGCCGATACGTCTGTAATTATTGCTCATATATCAGGGATTTTTGGTGGCAAAAATAAATTTCCACTTTTGTCAGTGTACAGTAATAACAATGGCCACCATAGCTTTCCCTTCGCGCTTGGAAGGGGAGGGTGAAGCAAGGGAGTTGCGATCTGCCACTACACCGCTAGATGCCACTAAATCCTACACACTGGTCCTTTTGCAAGTCGAAATGTAGTAATAAGTCAATCAACTGCCATTTTTGTTGAAGATTAACGTGTCACTAGAAGTCTACTGTGACAACACTGATGGAAGATTAGGATAGCAATAACTCCAACTCAAAAATAACTGGAATTGTCCTAACAAATGTGATATTGGCAGAGGCAGCATTTATTAAATACATAATCTGGCTTTATTTCCAATGTTACATCAGGGTTAACACACAACGTGAACAAAATGTGCAGTGTTCCTATTTCCAGCGTTTGGGAGAAACACAAGGAGAGACAGAAAAAATGAAGGAAAGCAGCAAGATCATTCTCAGAATAGCACAACACCACAACAAGCCCTCTGTTTGTTATGGCCTTCAGCCCCCAGCTCCCTTTCCTCTTCATGTGTATTTGTGTATTTGTGTATATGTGTGTGTGTGTGTGTGTGGTGTGTGTGTGTGTGTGTGTGTGTGTGTGTGTGTGTGTGTGTGTGTGTTTCCTTGAACCGGCCACAGTGTTCTTGCCTGGTTCAGGCTGTTGAGAGTTTGCATGAACCTTCTCTCACTGTGCCTGCATGAGGACGAGAGAGGGAGGGGAAGGAAAGGGAGGAGACGGCAAAAGAACACACAGTCAGCACTGTTGGTCAGATCAGGAAGCCTGTGTGTGTGTGTGTGTGTGTGTGTGTGTGTGTGTGTGTGTGTCTGTTTGAGTCAGGGGTCAAGAGCAGCAAGCCCAACCTGTCTGCATATTAGCCCTCACACGTTAGACACATAAAGCCGGACATCCGGATGTTACTCATGCCTTTTCCTCTCATATTTTTTCACGTCATTGAGGAATAACCTAATGTACCCTTTTGTAGGACTCTGTAGGAACAGTGCTCTGTAGCTCACTCTGACCTCTAACCTCTCTGTCGAGGACGTGGAGGAGAAAATTTAAGAAAAGTTTAACTAGAATCAATAAATGATGCCACTATTTAGTTTTGTAGGATCAGAATTTTAGGCTGCTGCAGGAAATAACTACTGTTTTCAAGTCACATTCAAAAAGGACAAATATTTTTAAATATCCCTCGTGAACTATGAGGCTTCCAGAATTCTAAATATGATCTGAAAGCAGAGGGATCGTAGGCTATTTTAAGGCCTGAGATGATTTGCTATTTAAGGCTAATTTTTGTGCCTTTCTGTGTCTCTGTGTGTGTGTGTGTGTTCCAGATATCTGGTCTCTGGGGGTGATCCTGTACATGTTGGTGTGTGGCGTCCCTCCCTTCCAGGAAACCAACGACAGTGAGACTCTGGTCATGATTCTAGACTGTCGCTACTGCGTCCCTGAGCATGTTTCAGACGACTGCAGAGAGTGAGTACAGATGAATGATATTAGGGTTAGGCCAAAGCTGTGGTTGATCAGATTAATGTTCCTCTCTGATCCCAGCTTCAGAAAGGTTATTGTGAAATAAAAAGATTTTATTGTCTTTGTACCTTTTTTTTTTTCATTTGAATTGATTCTTCATTTAAAGGCTTACTCTCTCCCAGAGGATTTTTGCTGTTGAATAGATGTGGTGTGTCACTCTGTCTTAAGAAGCTGCTGACCGTAAAATCATCTCATTAGTGTGCGTTTCAGTGGATTATTTTAGTGTCCTAGATCTCTGAGACGCTTCTCCACGCTGCTGCAAATACAGTTCAGAGTGTTATCTATCACATATTGGCTGTTGTTTCCTTTAATACAAAAACATCTGTGTCCTTGGACCGTAAACCCTATTTCAGTCTAGTCAGAGGAACACAAACACACCCCAGGAACAAAATACAACTCACACGTACTCATGTGTCTTCTCACTTCACCTTCATTTCTCACACCTCCAAACAAAACACACACACACTGTCCTCAGCTCACAGAAGGTTCAGGGTAAACATCAATACAGTTTGATCTACTGCTGCAGCTTTGGAGAGTGATTGACATTAGTCTGTGATAAAAACCTGAAAACACAGATAATTTTGTAACTAACTATTGACTTAGCAGAGGAGTGATCAATAGAGGAAGCACATGGTTAGGAAACACTGGATGGATGGGGCAGGAATACATGATGAGTAGCATGATCAGCATAACTTGAAGCCACTTGAAAACTATAAAATGGAAAAGTACTGATGAAACAGCTATTAAAACCCATTCTGTGTGTTACTAAAACAGTTTTAGATTTAACTTGGTGAACCCTGTAGAGACCCTGGAGGTTGTTTGTTCATCCAGAGCCTGATATACAGTATATTATTCCTCTGTGCAATCGAGCTCCACTGTTGTCCAATAACTATTAAAAACACATTAATGAGCCACTTGGTGACACTGGACTTGGTGACATGTTCCTTAATTACCATGAACACACACCCTGTAGTTAATTTTTTTCATACATCATAATGGTGGCATAAATACTCACTAGAGCAATAGTCCATGGCTGAAAATAGTCCCCCAATCCTGTTTGAGTAATTTTTGCTAAACACAACAGTGCCCAGCCATTTTAGGAAATTACAGAGCCTTAAAAAAACAATCTATATATTTTTTAAAAAGATTTACAGGGAAAGAAAGTCAGAAAGAGAGAGAGATGGACTAACACATTGTTTTGGTCTTTTTGCTGGATTGGATTCAACAATAAGAAAAATATAAAATAAAACTTTCATTCATTTCATTTTCATACCTTAAACACAAGTATATATGCACCCAAAGTGGTGAAATTGGCAGTTTACAAATACTGACACATCCCAAATTGGGAACAACAGCAGTACAGGTTGTGTGTGTAAAGCCACGGCTGTGTCTGCATGCAGTTCTTTAGCTCCAAAAGCTTCCTGAATGAACGCCTTTATACCTTCTAGAAAGATGCAGGCATAAATACCCTCAACCAAGTGGTTTGTTAGATTATCTGCAGCCGCAAACAGATCCTGGAACATCTGACCCAGCACTCGTCATGTGAGTTAGTCCTCAGTCACATGATGATGTATTTGATTTTAGAAAAGGAGCAGAGGAGAACAGAACAACCTTCTGGACATTAGAAGCTCATACAGGCCATTTCAGTAAGATTTGTCGAGATGGCCTAGATGAGATTGAAATCAGGTCATTCTCTGTGTCAGTTCAGTTGCTCTTTGGCTGATTACCAAAATGTGATGCAAAAAATAAAGCAAGCAAACAGCAGCTTATATTATTTCCATGAAACAATAAACCTCTCTGTCTTTCCCCCCGTCAGTCTGATCTCCAGGATGCTCCAGAAGGATCCGTCCCGCCGCGCCTCGCTCGAGGAAATCGAGGCTCATCGCTGGCTGCAGGGGCTGGATAACGCTCTGCTCAGCCCAGAGGCCCCGCCACACTGGCTCTCAGGGGCCCTCTCTCCCAGCTCTCCCCGCTCAGGAGTGCCTGAGTGTGGGGACCTGCTCGCGGCAAGGCCCGCCCCTCAGCAGGCTTTCCGTGGACCCTGGCAGCCCAGCCTCAGCTTAACACTCCGTCCACCTCCGGCTGAAGAACCTCCAGTCACAAAGAACCTACCTGCGCTACAGCAGATATGTGAGGAAGAAGAGGAAGAAGAGGAGGAGGAGGAGGAGGAGGAGGAGGAGGTGGAGGTGGAGGAGGAGGGAAGTTTGGTAAAAGAGGGTGAAGGTTTGGCGTCTTTGTCAGTGGCAGAGAGAGAAGCTGTTGGGATGCTCGATGAAGCAGATGATCAAGAGTGCAGGGCAGAGGAACAAAAAGAATTAGGAAGCTCAGTGGAGATAATGGAGGAGGAAGAGGAGGAGAAGGAAGAGATGGTGGAGATGGAGATAGAGAAAGAAGGCAGTGGGTGTGTGATTTCAGACCAGCCAGTCAGTCATGGAGACCAGCCGGTCACGCAGAGACCTGAAGTCCCACCATCGTCTCTGCCTGGTCTGGTGGTACCGTGCTGTCAGGGGGAGCCAGACTCCACAAGCCCAGAGGAAGGAAAGGACGAGGAGACAGAACCCAACAACAACACCAACAAACCTCCTCTCCTCCTCTCCTCCTCCGTCCCCGCCATCCCTGTGTCCTCTGCCACACTCATCCTGAACGAGAAGGAGGCACAGAAAGCAGGAAGAGAAGGAGAGCAAGACGTGAAAACAGACGAGGGTGGAAGAGATGACCTCGTAACAGACAGATCCCACAATGCACTGGGGACCCGGGATGAGGCTGCCCCGAAGACAGAGCAGGGGAAACGACATAGCTTAAAGTTGCGTGAGAGACTTTTTCAGTTCCCTCTGTGTGAGAAAGCTCTGGCCTTCAACATACCGACAAACAACAAACCCAAGATCCTGCCGCTGGCTCAGTACAACTGCTGCCATGTGCTATAAGTGAAAGCAGCCTGGGATGTGCTACTCACTTGGGACACACAGGCTGTTTAGCAGTGGGCAGGTGGCTGGCTACAGAGCACAAACCTTGTGAGGTGGCAAACCCCTGAGCTCCCTGTTGAGCCTTTCTGCTGCAGAGACCTTGAGGCACGAGAGCAAAGGCCCTCAGCAGCCGTGTACAGCTTCACACCCACAGACACTCAATCCTAGTGTTGTTCTGATGTTATAAACATGTGGTGTACAGCACCGTAGTCAGACTTAGTAGAACCTCATGCATTTGCTGCTGTGTACAGGAGCAACCATAGAATTACAATGACTAGACGGTGTCCAATCGGTAGCTTAGAAACAATACGGGACCTACAGAAAGAGAATGATGGCTGCAGCAGTTTTTATTGAATAAGCTATAGTCTGTTTTGTTTGTTTAAAAGGTGCCTACAACGATAAAATGGGTTTCATACTCTACATGGCCACTGTGTCATTTAGGCTCTGACTGTAAAAATCTCTAAAAGTCAGAATGGTCTAGCACTCAGTAAATCCATGATTTCATATTTTATAATATATGAATTAGAATAAACTTTGAACCAGCTTCTGCTACAGAGTAGCACTCCCTTCCTCTTACCCTTTGCACAACCTGCTTCTCTCATTGGTTCAAAAGCTCTACTATAAGCTCTATTGAATAAAGATAGACTGTTATGATATGATATGATATGATATGATATGATACTGTGTAATATATGCCTAAGACTGAGATGATGATATGATTTTCTGTTCTCTTAATCCTAAAGTCTTATTGATATGATGACTTGTCCTAACATACTGTATAATACTGTTGATAGGATCATTGATTGGGATGCAGGTCTTCCATTGTATTTTGAACTCTTTCTTTTTAACTATACTGAACAGTTTAATATTTGATCATACCAGTTTTATTTTGGATGCGCAGATATGAAGTTCCTTGATTTTTTGTATAACGTGACAAAGATATGAATTCTCTGAAGGGATATGTGACTTTGTGCATGTTATTACTGTTATTTATCACAATATACCTCCATGTGTCTTGGATCTAACAGGACATTGCTCTTGTGTAACTGTTAAGTACCTTGATGTAACCCACTGAACGATGAATTGCACACAGTACGACTACTGGTAGCTGGTAGCTTTCCACAAGCAGTATCCTGGGACTGATGGGTAGATTTGTTGGTCATTTAGACCAAATGGTAGTCATATGTTATTGTGTAGCAGAGGAGTCTCTCCATATGGTTTTATTTGACTATATAATGCCTCTGTGTGTTTCTGTATTTTTGCATACACACTGTATTTTCCCTCCGTTGAAGCTGGGACGAGAAGTGTAACATTTTGAAAAGTTAAAGAAGGTCAAAGTTGTACAATAAGCTACATCTCTACACGTATAGGTCACTAACCACAGCTTATTTCTGTCAGTCACTGCAGTTTCATGGGTACAACAAATTGGATTTTTAACTTGCAACCTGTGATCCCTGTGGTCCCTGTGAGCGGATGTCACATGAAATCTGATTTTCACTCACATTTCATTAACCATGGAAGCATAAAATCTGTGCAGAAGAGGGATAAAATCCCATTATTTGTTCCTGTATGATTGCAGCCTGTCTCTCCTCAGTGTGTCTGTGTCTACTGACCTGCATTGTAACTAGGACCACGTCTCTATGGAGCCATGAACTTATTTTTTCTCTATTTATTTATTAAAATGGATTAAATCAACAGCATGGATGTGTGTTGGTTGTACAGAGAATGTGGATAAGGATACCGTGCAGTAGTTTTGGACTATAATAGACTATAGACTATAATTGTATCATGAATATTTTCCTTGACCTCAAGTACAGCAGTACAATTTAGTTATTACACCATCAAACGCTTTTCAAGTGTCATGAATCATTTCCTCAACTCAACTGTCTGTCATTTACAGACTGACAAAGACACTGACAGGTTAAGTTGTCATGGTAAATGTCAAGTTGTCATAACAAAAACATCCCAAACAACGTCAACTTTGCATTAGATATGACATAATGATTCTTAATGACAAAGATTCTTAATGGCAATGAAGTCTTACCAGTCTGCTTTATAAAATTTCTAAAGCCAGAGTGGAAGTCTTGTCCACATCTTTATAATTGACATGCTGGAACAAAGGAATGTTCAGGGGAAAATTACTAAATAGTAAAAAAAAAAAAAATTATCAAATAAAAATATTTCTGTTCAATTTCCTTAATTGACTAACCATTTTAGCCCTAGTGAGTACTAGATGTAAAACAAATGTAGTGGGGTCAAAAGTACAATACCTCCCTCAGAAATGTAGTGGAATAGAGACATGAAGTAGCATAAAATGAAAATACTCAAGTACCTTATTACAGTTCTGGAGTAAATGTACTGGCTTCATTTAACCTACTAAGTTTTCATAAATACACGACAACCAACCAGTTTCCTTCAGTGAGTTTATTGTGGAACAACCAGCAAACATCATCACCTCTGTTTCTAACCTGAAATTCATTCTGATCCTGGGACCAGGCTGTCTAAAAGTTCATCTTCACCAACTCATCACAACCCTTCAGAACAGAGCGCACACACACACACACACACACACACACACACACACACACACACACACACACACACAGGTTTATGATTAGTGTCAGAAGTTCACAAGTACAGCTGCAGCCGCTTGAGGAAGTCTCAGCATCCACCTGCGTCTTTACTGAAGCAGTCCTTCTGCAGCCACCAGGGCTTGTGAAAAGTATGTGGAGCAAAATATTAAATGTATAGTGCCACCTGGTGGCTGGAAAAAATAGTAACTCCTACAAACAATAACATATATAGTGAACAATACACCACTGTAAAGCAGAAAAAATGATAGACTTCCCCAGTGGACTCTGCAGATTCATTGTATGAAGTGCCAGAGTGAACAGCGAAACACTCATGGTATGAATGTAAAGGTGAATTAGCTATGGCAGCACAGTGAACTCAAGCAGTCATTCTCAGAGGCAAACAACTCAAACAAGTGAGTAAAGACTGAAATCCAAGCATAAAAAAATTATGCATTTCTAATAAAAAAGCACATAGCGGTTCTTTGGTAGCTCCCATCACTTTCACTGCAAATTAAAACTTGGCATATAGTTTACTGTACTCATCTCATGTTATAGATGTCACATGGTCCAATACAGTTATTATTCACGTGTGGGAAAGGAAAGGTACTAGTGAAACATTTTCTACTACCTGCTCAAGCAGAAGCAAATGTTTCAGACAGGGATTCAGCACAATAAAAGATATTACCTATTATTGCAGAACATTTATAAATAAATGTGTAAAATACTCAGTATTTCAAATGTTTCACTGTCAGTACTGGCTGAGCACTAAACTCACCTGGCACCACACTTTTACTACAAATACAGACTGAAAGTTTAAGTTAAAGAACTACAGTCCAAGCCATTTTTTTCTACATTTGATGGAGCGATAGACAAAATCAATAATTTTCTGAAATTAAAGAGAAACCTAATTGTTTTTTGACAACTTGGGGGCAGCACAAAAAGCTGTAAATGCATCATTAATACTGCTAACTTGTTTGCAAGCATTTCAATAAATATTTTGATAAAAATATCGACTAAGGCAGGTTTAAAGCCTTATTTTGATTTATATTTCTTGCTTTTTCTCTTATGATAATCACTCCAATGATGATACTGTTACCTGAACACAAAATGTAGCTTATCATAGCAAAAACACTTTTAAAAGAGTTAAAATAACTGGAACATTTTGTACAGTATTCTTCCTTTTTTTTGTCTGTGACCCTGCCAGTGACATCAGAATCCTATTACTATTACTACTGTAAATATTGATTGTACATACTGTAGCCAGTGATTATAGAAGCGCTCTTCAGCTCTCCCTCATTGAACCTGAACAAAGCCTGTTAAAACCTCTTTTATCTTAACATTTCTAAAGGGCATCCGTACACATAACCAATACATTCCAAGCTGTCTAATATTTGAGGGGAAAAAAAACTTTTTAGCTGCTGTTTCAATTGCACTTGCAGTGTACATGTAATAAGAGAGTGCAGTTCAGAGGGCGTACATTGCAGAAGCACCGTGTTAATTAGTGACAGCAACAACAACACTTTAAAAGTATACAGGGGGAGCATTGGGTGCACAGCAGTATGCATTGTGGGCCCTGCTGGAGATCCAAGACTCCTTTCTGGGCCCACACAACCCTGAGGTTGGCACTGGATCTTCTGGTTGTAGCAGCTCAGCTCAGGACAACATAAAGCCCCAGCCCAACACCTTGAAACGCAATCAGGACTCTTCAGAATGCAGCTTCTGGAAGAAAAGGAAGAAAAGGAAGAAAAGCTCTCACACGGACAGACGAGAACACCCAAATGGTAAATAAAGAAATGTATGGAGGTTTACCTGCTGTCTCAAAGCCTGCATGGAGGTGTACTCAATATGTTCTCTCTTTTTTCGGATCCAGTCCGGTTCATCAGGGATCAGCACCGCCAAGACCACCTTAACCAGGATCAGCACATGCTGCAAACACACACAGAGGTAAAACTGTAAGTGACACACATACAGACGGTTGTTTTAATGTGACTCACACAAATGACCTCCATCTTACCTCCGCCAAAACAGCCAACAGCAGAATGTTTGTGCTGCTCATCCCACCCTCCTGAAACTGCTCTTGTAACCATGGTGACAGCAGCAGCAGCCAGCAGTTGGACACAACAGAGACAAAACTCAGGATCTCGAAAGCAATCTGAAACAAGACAATGACATGAGCTGTTCATTCATAACTGGCTGAGTGTGGACACTCTGCCTCAGTTCTGCTGTGCGTTGCGTTTTCTGCTGACCTGCCACACGCCCATGTTAGCCACAGGGGGGGAGAAGGGTTTGCGGAAGAGCTTGCAGATTTTGTAGGCATCTGATCGTATCTCCGTTAGATTATTGATGAGCAGCAGTACAGCTGTCAGAGGATACACGCAGGAGAAAAGACTCAAATACCCAAACTGCACCAGGAGCTCGATGTACTCTGCAAACAAACCCTGTAACAAGACAAGGTGCTGTGTCACACACTGCCAGAGAGTATTCTTATCAATGTGTTGATGTATCTGAATAGTGTACACTCACAGGGAAGGCAGGCAGGGTGCTTTGGTTCCTAAATTTGTCCTCCTGTGGGTCGTCTTCACTCTCTGTGCCTGTGGGGGGCACTGATGAACCGGTCCACCAGGAAGGGTATGACCACCTCTGTCACCTGGTTCACCAGCTGGGTCACTATCAGCAAAGATGCTAGACGCTTTAGACAGACAAAGAGAATCATTTAAGGTTTTAGTTTAGTTATTTCCTGTTTTATGTCTGTCCTTATGCGTCTTGTGCAACTTCTCTTCCTGCCTTTGTCTGTTTTCCCACCAATTGGAATTGTCTGCCCTGCCCTTATTGGGTTCACTAGTTCACCGATTTTACATTTAAAGATCAGTTATTAGGAGAAAAAATTGACCAATAAAAGCTTTAAGCAGGATTTAAAATGTCATCGTGCTAGATAGCTAACCAGCTGTCTGAGTCTGAGCTCCATCACATCTGAGAAAATGACCCCAAGGGTTTTTACAGTGTTAAAGTGTGTAGAGTTTATCATTAGGCATTACCTTACGAAGCAAAGGCACATCCTGCTTGAAGAAGGCAATGTGGAAGAGCACTGCAAAGTAGTTGAAGAAGGTGAACTGGGGGAGGAGAGAAAAGATCATTTTAAAAGAGCCTGTTGGGTAAAGATGATGTAAGAGCTAATGGTTAGAGATGATAGAGGAGGAACTCACCACCAAGATTTTGGCTGTTAGGTGGTTCTCGAAGGCAGACTCCTCTCTGTGGTTCTCTAAAGGGAAATATGAGGTTAATTAATAGCTAATCATAGCCATTAATATCATAATTATGAACATTAATAGGCAGGATTGCATAACCTGATCATCTGAATTAATATTTTCCATTCTCTTTTCTCTCTTTCTGTTCTTGACTCCCATAATCCTTTTCCTCACCTGACTGCATCTTTATCACACAAATTCTCCAAAATACAAACATAATTGCCACTGTATTCATAATTTCACGATTCTTCATTCTCACGCATCGCATCCCCTCCGTCTCACTCACCATGTTCAGTCAGAGACTGTGCCACTTTCTTGTAAACAGTCGATAGCATGTTAGTGTACACGATGTGAAGCACTGAGGGCATGTAGAGCAAAGTCTGAGACAGCAGGGAGTCCCAGTCTCTGTGTAGCTGCTGCACCTGGGCCTCCCCCCAGTAGAAACAAAGCATACCCAGCACCACCAGCCCTGCAGGAGGAGACAGGACAGGGCAGGGGACGAGGCTTTACACATTTGTATCACTTTATCCTTCAACATTTACTTAATTTACTTGCTCAGTAGACCTTTGGAAACAATACTACTTTTACTTGAGGTTTGCAATAAATAAATGGATGAATATCATGGAAGCTTTCAGCTCAGTAACACCGATGAATTTATTTAATTCAAACTTGAAAGTTAAGTTCTACCCAGAAACAGTCCAACCACTGGGACTGACACCAGAGCCATACGCAGGTCCCTCCGCCATGCAGGAAAGAGCGGCTCCACACGACCTGTCACAGGGTTGACCCCTATGTCGCCATGGAACCCGGGCCGGGGCTCTGCGAAGCGTTCGGCGAGGTGCAGGGTGCCCCAGCGGTAGGACAGGGAGGAGCTCCGACGCTTCCACAGCTCCATAACCACCGTGGACCAGATCATGCTGAACACTGCCTGGATCATGTGACCGCTGACCGCTGTTCCTGATTCATCTTCAACACCTGTGACCCTTGAGCCTGAGACCGACTTCTCCATCTCCTTCTGAGCCTCACCTGTGATGGGCAAGAAGAACTTGGTGTCCAGTTTATTTTGTTTGAATACAATTGCCTGAATGACTTGTTAGCTTGATACCATTCTAAAGTGGACATTAATAAATTAGTTGTATTTGTTGTATAGCCTACTTAGGACACAAAACAATATCTGGGGGTCACATGATACACACACTGTATGTGGGGAAACCAAAAACAACCTCAAAGAGTAAGGTGTGGTGAATTGGAGTTGTGTGTTTTAATTTTGAAGTTGACACTGGTCTGTACTTCTGTTCTTCTTCAATGTTAGACATTAGCATGCTAACAATTTAATTTAATTACCTGAATAAAAGAATCGTTATATTTTGTTACCTTAGAATGAGCTGTTTGTATCTACAGATGCCGTGGGTCACCTTCCATGGAGTCCGCCATGTTGACCGCCATGTTTCTACAGTAGCCCAGAAACCAAACACTGGCTCTAGATAGGTGCGTTGACGTTTTATGCACGTTTCATCGCCACCATAGTTTCTCATTTGTGCTTGGAAGGATGAAGCGAGGGAATTGCAATCTGCAACTACACCCCTAATTGCCACTCCAATAATTTTATTTTATCCATTTTCTCAAGATCATGAATTACCTTGTTATCTCAGCATAACAACGTTGTTTTCTGGTGATATAAACTAATTATCTTTAAAAATGAGGTTGTTTTCTCAAGATAAGAAGATAATTAGTTTGCAAAAAACATTTTTGGCTTCCATAGATAAAAATAGCAAAGTTTCTCTTTTGATGTTGTTGGAATCCTCACATGTCCCTTTGTTTGTTTGTTTTGTTGTAAAGCATCGCACACCAGTGAAAATAAGCATGCTCTTGACAGTTTCATGGTTTCTGAGTATTCAGATTACTGAGTCATTTAAAGCTGCTGCTTCACTTTTTAATATGCTGCTAACATTACAAAACTCCCCAGTGCAGCTTTAGGATACTTAAAAAGGTGTCAACAGGTTTCTGATTAGGCATAGAAACTTGCAAAACTTTGTGCTGAAACCATTTGGAGGGGGAAATTATGTTTATTGAGTGCTAAATAAATACCATACACTGTAAACATAAACAAAAATAAATGATAAATCCACACACCTACCTGAGAAGTATGTGATGGACAGACCTAGTATCGCTGGTGGGAGCAGAGACCAGGTGTAGAAATCAAGAAAGCTGAAGTAAAAAGCCACAGAGCTTCCGAAATACCCATTGACTGCATCTGGATAAAGCAGCAGACACAGGTGTCTGGTGTTAGTGCATGCATGGTCCAACTGTCAGCTTTCACCCACACAGCCATTTATTGTAAACTCTAACTCCTCTCAGCATGAAAAAAAGCTGAGACTGTGACCATATTTGTACCAGTCTCTGCATTGGTGTGCGTACGAGCAGTCATGTGGTAGTGTGTGTGTGTGTGTGTGTGTGTGTGTGTGTGTGTGTATTTCCACCCACCCAGTGGCTGAGCCAGCTGATTCCCAGAGTACCAGGCCTCACTGAGATCCTTCAGTTTGTCAGGGTTGTGGAGGGGAAATGTGTCCAAGATAACACCAGCTGACCCGAGCTTCTGCCCTGCAACAACCCTCAGTTTTACACACATGACATCAAAGCAACACTCCAACCCAGGGTGACTTGTAAACATGAAAAGGGACAGATTTCTAAGTAAAGCAGCAAGAAATCCACACATATACAGTTACATACACACACACACACACACACACTGAGGCTGATGCTGACTGAGGCAATTTCTTGATCGAATACGAGGAGAGAAGAACAGCTGAGGTCAGCAAGACATAGATACACATATTACAGCTGGATACTGGCTGAATGTGGAGACGGCAGGCAACAACTTATATTCAGAACATGCCTGTTAATGTGTCAGAAAAAACATTTACATTATTACATTTACTTGCTGAACTGGATGGCAGTCTACAATGCGATGACATGAGTGCACCGCACAAAATGTCTTAACAAGTAGTGATCGTCCATCATCTCTGTCCCAAGGCATTCTTTAACATTAGATTGAATAACAAACTGAAAAAACAGAAATCCTCCCACTCAAAAGTAGATTGTCTGCACATTGCTCTAATAATGAAGTGTTTGTCTCAATGGATACTCCAGTGTGTGCATCCTGCCTGCCCATACTGATGAGAGCACTCACAGATGTTGTCTCGGTGTTGCAGTGCGGAACTGTCAGACAGGCCGGGTATTCTCAGGTCTCTCTGAGCCCGCAGACCGTCCAGCTCATACTTGACTATGAACTGCCGCTCGGCCAGGGTCAGGAACACCTCCATGTTATCTGTCGCACACATGAATAGACACAGGTACATGGATATAGCCAGTGATGCATGAAGACAAACACACGCAAAAATGAAAAATAGTTTTGAAAAGAGCAAGACTAAAAACCAGCAGGGCCAGATGTAGAAAAATATTCATGGGGCGGCAGAAATGCTGACTCAATTGCAAACAATCACATATATGAATATTGGCTTGGAAAAGGCCCAAAATGAAGATATTTCTCAAAAACATTCTTGTGACACATTAGTAAAACACTGATTAGATATATCTAAAGGTGGCAATAGAAATCAATAAAATGTTTTATTTCCAAATCTTCAAACATTTTTCCAAATATATATCTTTTTTTATTAAGCCAATCACTCTAAAATGTGACCATAACAGATCATTAAATACATTTTCGATGTTGAGTATGTGTTTTACATGCTACCATGTTACTGTATCATTTAGCATCCCCATTGAAGAAGATGTGAAGGTTAACACAGGACCTCAGCTGACAAGATAAAACTAACCTCAACTAGGATCAGATCATACAACTATTACAACTTCTTGTCTTGATACCACCTTTTTCATGTACTCAGGGAAGAAAATAAGAGAAACAGCCTTATGTCACACATTATCCCATTGTGCCAAAATTGCAGCTTCAACCTCACCTAACATCTGGGAAGTGGACACCAAACAGAGCTGGTTCCGACCTGAGTGTTTCAACCAACACATCAATGAAATAACCCCACATATCAATTTCACTAGAGGGCAGGAAGAGATCAGTAAGTTGCCATTTATAGACGCCACTTAATCCTTCAGTTAACCTGAAAAATTCAAATTCACCAAATAAGGATATCAGGGGTGTAAGAATATTGATACACTTCAGTATCACAATATTATGTTTTGTGACACTGTGTTGATTTTTAATTAATAGTTTAACAGTAATAATTAATAATAATTAATAGTTTTGTGTTGTGTTTAAACCTCTGCTAAATAAATATTTGACACCAACCCTAAAATGTGCAACAAGAAATACTGGATGTTAGAGTGACTGTGATGAATACAAATATAGATCCCACTGTTCTGGTTACATACATAAAGTATTCTCTTTATCAGATTTTATACATATGGTGTTGTGTTCTTTTTACTAGGACAGTTTTCCTAAGATTATTTTAAGAAAATTGCAATGTATCACAATAAATTGAATAGCAACCCATATTTTGTGATACGTGTTGTATCGCCACATTGTTGCCAGTACAGAGCCCTAATGGACATACACTACAAGGTATTCACTGGACAGTTGCAACGCACTGAGGACAGACAAGCAATGGAAAAACACAGCTGACTTGAACTTTGTATCATCTTTGTATAGTCTGGCAGTGCACCTGCCAGACTATTTGTATATGACCAAAGTTTTAGTTTTATGGTTTAACAGCAGGATGCTACTGCTACTGTTTCCATCGCAAACAGATACAGGCCTTTTAATAGATCTGAGCAACTGGTAAAGTAAACAGTGAGACAGTAAAACCTTACCTGTTGTAATTTGACATCCATATGTGATCGTACATTATACATGCATCATTTTCATCTGTTTGTGTTGTAAATGTTATATTAAAGAACCAACATCTGTTGTGTTCTGGTTTCAACATGTAAAGTGTTAATGAATACATTCAAAGCTCTACTGCTGTACCTGAATCTTTAAAGTTGTCTCTGTCGTTGTAGGAAAAGGCCTCCATGTTGTTGTTGCAGTAAGTCTTACACAGACCCAACTCTTCAGTGGCTCTAAGTAGCGTACAGCATGGGGCGGAGACCACGATGATGTCACCACTGGCGTCCTCACCCGGGTGGGCCAGTAATGCAGCCCCTGGGGGTGAGACAGTGTTGCAAAGAAGGAACATTAAAACTGAAAGGGAGGAAACCTGGGATCTCTCTGTTTCAGTGTACATATGGGCAGGTGAGCTAAAAGACATATTTGACAAATGTGAACCTATCCTTAAAACACTGTGCTGGTCACATTCTTTCAATAGGAAAAAACATTTTTCAGTAGTTGATAAATTATGCAAACATGCAGGCAAAGGTAGAGATTTGAGTTTCATGATGGCAGCTGATAAAGGTAACTGACGCATGATTCAGGTGTGATTTTCTGAGGAATTAGGGAGTTCTGTCTCTTTATGTGTTGATGTGACATTTAACTAGACATAATGAGATCTTTATCTGTTAGAAACAAGAAAAATAATGTGTCATCAGCAAAGAAATGATGATGAAAGAACAGGAGCACAATTGTGTGTGAGTGTTGTGGTCAAAATTTCCATCCACACTATCTGATGCAAAACCTAAAAAGGTAACTCATTAATGTGCAACACTAAACAACGTTTGTTAGAAGTTATAAAAGCTAAAGGACGCGCCACAAAGTGTGTTAAAAGAGTTGGAAGTTTTCATTTGAACTTCAAAATTAAGTCAACTTCTGTTGTCAAAATAACTCATATGTATCAATAAATATTTTTTGTTGTTTAACAAGGTTTTTTGTCATGTATTGTCATTATCTTTCATCACTATAATGTCTTTTGAGGTGAGGTGGTTGAGTATTTCTGATTGCAACTGTGTGCTCTTCTTTTTAACATGTTTTCTGGCCCGTTTCCACCATCTCTGGGTTACATTTACATAGGAATCTATGTACATTGCCAACTGGCATGTAAATGCAAATGCAATCAAATGTTTAAATGCTAGAGACCTTCCAGGCAATGGTTCTCCTGTTCAATAGACTTCCATAATGAGAGAAAGAAAGGCTCATAAATGTTTGATCAGTATGTTTGCCCTTGCCTGCAGGACTCTTTCCTATCATCACTGTTATTCAAGCACTCACCTCCATCTTTCTGAGGAGCTCCAATCACTTTGATAAGCCACCTTTTCGTCTCAGGGCGAACTTTCTTTCCGAGCTTCACCAGAACCAACGGCTCGACTCGCTCCGACACACAGCAGGGGCAACTAACTTTAGTCCATCCTGGTCCAACAGTGGTAGCACTCAGTTTGCTCAGGACCTTCTCCGCTGGAGTCTTCTCCTCTGGCTGTGGGGCTGTTTCACTACAGACGCCACCGCCGCCTTCATCACCACCTGCTTTACTCATGGTGAGACTGAGACGAAATGTCAACAAAACAGTTTTAGTTTGAGCTTCTATGTTCATTGTCGCCATCATCATTGTCTTCAAACAGGAGTTTGTGAGGTACCGTCACCTGCGTCATGGCTTTAAGCATGGCACACTGAAACAAAATAACTGTTTTGTACAGACATTCATGGTCGCCAGAGGGTGAAGCCTATACTGACTTTGATGAGCCTAGATTTTTTTTATATTGTTGTGAGGTTGACATTTTTGTTTTTTTGTGAAATATTTCGACCACTATTGGATTGATTGTCATGAAGCTGGGCACAGACATTTACAGTGCTCAGAGGATGAGTCCTAATGACTTTAGTGATCTGACTTTACATTAAAGTTTTCACTTCCTGTGAAAATCTGCTCTAATAGATGGAATGGAATCATTTTGTATAGACATTCATGGTTCATATAGGATAAATCAGGATGAATTGTAATAACTTTACATGAACTTTTCATCTATACTTTGGTTATAAGACAAAATACCGGTAAACCTAATGACATTCCCATCAGCCTCAGCTGTTAAAAGTCAAAGTCAAAAGTCAAGAAAAAACAGTTTTGTTAGCAAGAAGTCAGAACTTATCTACCTGTTTAAGGACTCTGTTAGTGTGCCACCAACCACTACCAACCCTTGTAACATCTTTGCATTAGACTTTTTATAATCCATCATTTACATGTTTGAGTGCATACTGTATATAAAACTGTTATAATTTGCTTTATTGCATTTGCATTGCCAGCTACATTAAACAAAATTAGACTGGTTATGGAGCACTTAGATTTGCATGTGAGATTGAACATGCAGTAGCTTAAGGTATAATTTTCCAGGATCCTTGTCATTTACTGGCTGTTCTTCAGTTACTTGCTGAGCCGTTCAATAGTGAATCAACACTAAATGTTTCAGTTTCTCTGGAGGAAACAGCGGTTACTTCGCCACTAACAGCAGATAAACACAACTTCCTCTGTTTTGACTGCATCACAAGTTAGCTTGAAGCTACACTGACAGACAGATAAAACCATGGAAGACAGGACAAGACTGAGAGAGACGCAGAAAGACAGAACTTAAAGTGGTGGCGTCCCACCCATATTGTGATTTAGTTAAGTTTAAACAGGCGGTTCACATATACAGTGGCAGAGAGAATGAGTCAGGAAATACAATACCTGTCAGAACGTTGATGATGAGGTTCTGGTCTCCAGTCCTACAGCAGGCCCACACCCCCTCCAAACTCCTGTTTGAACACACACACACACACACACACACACACAACACACACACACACAGATGAACATGAAGACAGCATCTAATCAGTTTCCCTGAAAAGAAACCAGGAACAACACACTCTTACTCTCTGCACACACTTACCCACCCTCGGCATGTGGTTCCTCCCAGTTTTCTGTCTATGTGTATGTATGTATGTGTGTGTATGTGTGTGTATTAACAGGAATGCGGAGGAACTTCCAGACACTGCAGGGCGTGGAGGGTTGTTTGGTTTATATCCAGGCTCCTCCCTCCTGCCTGCTCTCTGCTTTATGGCTGCTGCTGCCGCTCAGGGTCCTACTGCTCCACCCGTCTCTGCTACTTAGGGCCTGTCCTCACGAATACGTTTTTCTCGAATCCGGATAAATACTTTATCGTATCATAACAACTACAACAATAAATGTAGTTACACTAATCAAAAACCTCTCTTTCTTATCTTTGAAAATGAAGCCAAACAATAAATTAAGTCTATTAAAAAATCCCTCAACATGAAAGCTATAGAAACTTAGAATTTATGTCCACTTTACGGTTTTGTATGAAAGCTTGCCTCTGTATTGTTGTAACCCCCTGGTGGCGTTTTGTTGATGTATTGATTTGTATTGCACCATGTTGACCTAATAAAGTTTCTGAAAAACAAACAAACAAAAACAACAACAACAACAACAACAACAATGGCGGACTACTACTACTTGTTTGTAAACAGCGCATGCTCCATGGCTTCTCTTCCAGTTTTAGTGTATTGGTGTGGCGGCGTCACAGCGCCACATACAGGCCTGTCATATGTACTACAGCGTTTTGGGTCGTTTCAGTGAATCCGTGTGGACGCAGATATTTCTGGAAACGACGCTGTGTTTACTGAGATTTTTTTCGAAACGACATCGTATTGGGTGAGGCCGCGTGTTCGTGAGGAGACAGGCCCTGGAGTTCACTGTGTTAAAAACACACACACACTCCTGAAGATGCTCCAGGGCAGCAATAGTTTGGTTTGAAATCTCAGACAATCTGCTGCTTTAAAAACATGCCAGATAAACAAGATTAGAGCATTGTTGACCTTTACTAAACCCGAACAATGAAATACAAAATGACACTGTACCATAAACTCTCAGTTTATTCTTTAATATCATGTATTTAAAACATATTCATATTAAAGTCTGAAGTCAGTTCTGTGACGCTGCGCTTTGAGCTAAATGCTAACCTCAGCATGCCCACAATGCTGACATGCTAATATTTAGCAGGTAATGTTCTCTGTGATTACCATCTTAGGTTAGCATGTTAGCATGCAAACATTTGCTAATTAGCACTGACCACAAAGTACAACTGAGGCTGAGGGTAATGTCAGTAGACATGTAAAGATGAAATCATAAAATCTAAAAATGATAAAATATTGGACTAAATCGGCGTTGACCTGGCAGCAGCGCTAGATGGAAGGTCACATGATCATCAGGTCATTTGGATTTATTCTCTGGGTGCTGTGGCAATCCATAAAGTTGCTGAGACATTTCACTACAAAACAAAAGTGTCAACCTCATGGTGGAGCTAGAGGGAAAGTCAGGTGATCACTAAGGTCAGTAGACATTATCCTCTGGGGACCATGAATGTCTGTATAAAATGTAATCAAAAGCCTAATGAGATATTTCAGTCTGGACCAAAGTGGTGGATCAATCAACAGACCGACCGACAGACCAACATTGCCATCTTTGGTTTGGAACATTCAAGTTTTTAGTAGTATAGGTAATTCTGTATGTTATAACCTCCCTCAAACATTTTAGCCGATCTATCGGTGTATAGCTCTGTTTGATCATGAACATTATGTGCTGTTTATTAGTGATTTGGCAATACAGGTTAAGCAGCTGGGGAAAGGGCTGTGTACTTTTTTAAACATTTTTCTTTATGCTTTATGATTTTATTTTGCTACCATGTGTTGCTGAATTGTGTAAAAAGTGGAGACTAGTGAAGAAAAAAAGAAACACGAGTTGTGCATTTTTGAAAAACCAGGTAGAGAAAGGAGTAGTTTTCAGTTTTATGTGGGTGAGAAAGACCTGAATTTACAGATAACGTATCTTTGTTTCATCCAAGATGAAAGACTTTTCTATGTGGTGCATTAGTTCGAGCAAACTTGACCTGTGGGGCTATGTGTGGTATGGGTTATTCAACATATTCCAAATTGTATCAAAGTGTGTATGTCCTGTTTTAGATGTAGAAAGTCCATAATCAGGCGACTGGGACTACCGAATATGCACCTGTGTTAGTGGTTAATGGACATATGGAGTACGAGTAAGACAACAGCCTGTCCAACAGGCTTTTTCTTTTTTGTCAAATTATGTGCAGTTATGATGTGGAATATTAACACTACATATTGAAACAGGAAGAAAGAAAGAATATTTTGAGCTAAATGACGTGGAGAAAGTAATTACATTTTATATTGTCCTTTATATTATGATTTATGACAAATATTTTAAAAAAGGTTTTAGTTTCTGATTTAGATTTGTAGTGAGTATTGAAATTGGAGCTTTAATAGGTCACCTTTTTAATACTGTTTTTGCTTTTTTTTTCCTAAAGCATGGGATAGAGGGAGAGACTAACATATGATAGATACATTTTTCGGACTTTAAATTGATTGCAGACTATTGGTTTCATTGGATCAAATATACAGTGGTTGGCTCTAATGGATGCAGATGTTTTTGTCTTTTTTAATGTTTGCTTGCTTACATGGTAAACATTATACCTGCTTAACGTCAGGATGGAGGTTGTTGTTCTATTGCCACTAGGAGACGCCAAAGTCAAACGTTTTCAAGCCCTACACACTGAGTTATAAGAAAAGCCATCTGTTTACAGATTTTAGCTTTTTACATAAAGCATTGGTCATAGGTTGTTCACTAGAAGGATGTTTACACATTCATCTGCTCAAAGTGGAGGGTTTCTCTTGTGCTCATTGAACATCAGATTTTAAGGGGCGGGGCCTAACAGCATTATTTGTGACATCACAAATAGTAAGGAAGTCAGTCCTCGTCCAGTATGCAACTTGTACAGTGAGATGTAGAAACATGAAGCCACCAGTTCACATCCACTGACTGATAGGAGATCTTGTGTCCAGCAGGAAAACTTTAGAAATTACAAAATTTACATATTCATAGATTCTGGATTTTCAATGAGGTAGAAGGAGTAGATTAACTTTTTATAGGATTTTAATGTGGAAATACTTTTTTTTTTCAGATACACATTATTCTTCCAAGCATAACATTTGTATATGCACCTATCAGCCATAACATTATGACCACCTGGGCCCTCTGGTGGTCACAATGTTCTGCAGCCACATATCAGCATTAACTGTTTCAGCTCGTCTGTTGGCCAGCCTTCACTCCCCACGTACATCAATGAGCCTTGCCCCTCCATGACCCTGTCTCGGGTTCTTTTCCTTCCTTGGAGCACTTTTGATAGGTACTGACCTCTGCAGACCGGGAACCCCCCACAAGAGCTGCAGTTCTGGAGATAGTCTGTCCCAGTTGTCTAGCCATCACAATGTGGCCCTTGTCAAAGTCGCTCAAATCCTCACGCTGCCCATTTTTCCTGCTTCTAACACATCAACTGGAGGACAAAATGTTCACTTGCTGCCTGATATATCCCACCTACTGACAGGAGTCATGATATCTAAATACATGTCTGGAGGGGAACTTTAAGTTTGTCCAATTTTTGCATCATTCCCTGTTTAGAAAAAACTTCAGTAAGTATCTTCTAGTCTGAGCTCTGCATGCTACAAATAGTTACGTTATTGGCTGACATTCAACGAGATTTTCATTAAAAAAAAACATACTTGTATTCCTGCAATATGGAGAAGTCATATCACAAGCTTAACCATGGAAAATACATGATACATAACCTTTTGCTGCCCAAATTGCTACAATAGATTTAACCATCCATGTGACACACTACATGGTAAAGTGGCAGGAACAAGTCCAACACAGTATTGCAATTCCATAAATTTTGCGCACAGATTATAAAAAATGGTCAAAATTGAAACATCAGAGGCCAATAAATAAAAATTACAAGACAAACAGACATCAGAAATATACAGATATTTATTTACAAATACATTCGCATTTGCATAGGCATTTAAAATTCAAAGATAAAAGTTAAAAGATATTATAGTAAACAGATTTTAGAAATATTATTTTACGCTGCATAATTTAGCACAAGGAAAAGTTCACTTGTCAGAATCGAAGCAAACAAGCTATTTTTTTCATCTGTATCATATAAATATACATAAATAAGATCCTATTACAACAGGTGGAATCATTTCCCTTTGCCAAGCAGCCGTCACAATCCGTATGCATTATCATTATCATTGCAGTCATCACTATCTCCACCATCATTACCGACAATAAAAAATAATTTTGGTTCTTTTAGAATCTCTGTGGTACATAGAGATTATATCAAATCAGAATTCTTTCCTCATGATGCCTTGTACATTCATTATCAACTTGTGGAGCACAAGACACACAGTGACACCTTTTGGTGCAGTTACAGCTCAAACCTGCATCCCCAATGCAAACATTGTTTTTTTTCACAGCCCTATTAAGGTTTACCTGAAGACTTGATTAATATTGCTGCTCTGAATAGCAAGAAAAAAGCAAATGGAATCACCTTACTGTATTAGTTTACTCTGTACTCTGAAAAACTTTAATAACTCTTTAATAGATTTTGCATGTTATGTTACATGTGTAAGAATGTATGTACATATATATTATGTAAGTGGGAGTATTTCTTCAAACTAAAAAGGTTGATAAAAAAAGATTTTCTGCAGTTGTTGTATATCACTATGCTCTACCTATTTATGTTATTGATTACGTTTGTTCTGCTTCAGTTATCAGTGTTTTTAGAGGGGACATTTCAAGGATCCGCCAGTCACCATCAGGACCTCCTGCTGTTCAGTCAGATGGTTCATCCATCGTCATCCTGAGGGGGTCTGCAGGGCCACATAAACCTTATCACCTAGCTCAGTGGTTCTCAAACTGGGGACGTTGAGGAGTTTGCAGTGGGTATATTTTAATTTCACTATTATTTCATTCACTAGAAGTTAGCTCAATGAAAGAGTGTATACGAAAGTTATCCACAGCCTGATTTGTATTAATTCGGGGGTCCTGGACACCAAAAAGGTTGAGAACCACTGACCTAGCTGACCCTGTGACCCCGAGATCCCCACAGCAGGAGGTCTGACAGCCTGGCCTCACGCCTCAGCTCTGTCCCTCTGACACCATGACAACACACTACCATCCACCCATTTTACACCTTAATGCACCTGTTTTCTTATACCAATAAACCAATAAGAAAACATCTGCTCACTCAATGTAAAGCTGGTGCAATAAAAGAACTTCCTCTTCTGTACAAAGCATCTTATAAAATATTTTTTCTATATCTTTGTTGTATCATTAATGACAAAAACAAAAGAGAACAGAGGAAATATTACAATCAACTTGCAAAAATATATCTCCACAGTGGTTTCAAACATTTAGATGACATTAACAGTACATCAAATCAACGCGTTACAGTATAATTTCACTTCTGCAGCTTTGCTGATAATTAATAAGTTAAATCTAAACGATCTCAGCATGTTGAAATATCTGAAACCAGATGATTTCTGTTCACAGCTGCTTCCAAAAACTACCGTGAGACCAAAGAATTTCTGTGTGTGGTTACCTGCAGTGTAAGTGAGAGTAGCAGTGTGCGATAGTGTGGAGGAAGGAACAATTGTTTTGTTTTTTTCCTGAGTTGGTTCACCAGTTTGGTCTCGCTCTCTTTCTCTCTCTCACTCACAGTCTCAACACACACTCTTTCACACTTTCTGTTCTTCTGTCACATCCCCTTGCTACTCTTGTCTTCCACATTCACCAACCATCTATCACTTCCTGTTCCCTCTCTCTGACTCTGAGGGACACTAGGACAACGTGTTTGTGTGTGTGTGTGTGTGTGTGTGTGTGTGTGTGTAAATTTCAGTTTGTGGATGTGGGTCTACATTCATTTGTATTATGCTGAATGTTCAGGAACCAGGAACAGAGCGTGTATATTGAGTATTTTTGGAGATTTTTCAGTGTGATTCTGAATGTGCCCTACAGTATTCTGCAGCTATAGAGGAATCATTTGATTCCTTTAAATTAAATGAAAACGTAACAATCAAAATACATAGATTCATGTGTGTATGTGGCCCTCTCTTTCTCTCCATGGCCCAACTCCTGGCTGTACATTATGATGTTGTGAATGGCTATCAGGCGACGGTTTGGCTGGTGAGGTCAGTGCAGTGGGGAGCACAGCAGTAGCAGATGCTGGTTTGGTTATAAAAATGGCACAGAAAGGCCTTGCAACTGTGCAGCAATGATTGCAGTGAGGCAATACACACACCTATAGATGAGCAAATGTGTTTTTCTGGCTGGAATCAAATAGCAGATTGATATGCGCAGGGGGGGATTAGTTGCAGTGGCCCAGGGGTCCTCGGAAGTGGAATTTCCTCCTTGGTTGTGAAAGCTATGGCTGTGGAGAGGGTGGCTGATAAGTCCTGTGGCCCTTCAGGAGAGCCGTTTTTGTGTTAGAATTTTTCATCAGGGATGACTGTGTTGAAGGGGTGGTCCCAGAACGTGGAGGTGATTCCGAAACCTGGAGAGAAAAATATGGAACATCAGATCAAAAGAAAACCACAACAGGGAGAATCAGACCTAAAAATCCAATAGGCTCTTCCTTGGTCTCCCTATGTGTTTCAGATTTCTAGTGCTCACCTGCTCTCTGGTGCTCAAAGTGGTGTTTGACGTGGTAGGCCTTCAGGCTGTACATATACGAGCCTCTCTTAGGCGAGCCATAGTGAAGGTAGTAGTGGATCATATCGTACACGACATAGCCACACAGCCCCCCGACAAACACGCATATCCCAAGGATATCTGGCATCGTGTGTCGGAGGATTAAGTAGAAACTTCCCACCACTAAGGAGGCCAGGCCGGGCGGGAAGACCAGCCGAGAGCCATCAAATGGAGACTGCGGAGAAAGAGTTTGGGTCATACACTGAGACGAGACAGCTGTTAGAAACTAGAACATTTTCTGGAGCCAATGTGTATGTGTAGCACTGAGAGGTTAACAAGCTTAAATTCCTTATAGCTAGCTGAGAGTTAAAGAGGAACTATTATGCTTTTATATATATAAGGTTACAACGGGTGTTGATATTAAATTAGGCAAAAGGGTCAAATAATGAGGTAAATATATGTAAAAGTAATCCCTGTGAGCAAAACTCTATGAAGTCTAATGATTAAACCAGTTATATGATCATGTGATTATATCTATATAGAGTGTTTGTACCTTGTGGTGCTGTCCGTGCAGGAGGAAGTGTATCGTGATGAGGTAGTAGTTATGGGCTGGTGGTTTCATGTGAAAGACAAAGCGATGGATGCAGTACTCGATGAGTGACCACAAGAACCAGCCCGTCAAAAAGAGCAGCGGGAAAATGTACTTGGAGATGGGGATGGAGAAGTCTGGAAACACGCGCACACGCACACACACACACACACACACACACACACACACACACACACACACACACACACACACACACACACACACACACACACACACACACACACACACACACACACACACACACACACACACACACACACACACACACACACACACACACACAGATAATGACATAGATGTATACACACATTAACTGGACATGAAAATGATGTAAACAAAGATGTTATATATATATAGTATTGTGTGGTTGTGTGTAATAAAGGTACGCAGATGAGAATGTGGACGTGTAAATGAAAATGAAAGCATGCAAGCGTGTCTGTTGTATATATGTTCATAATGTAAGTACTGTATATGGCTGTGTGCGTTACCTGAAGTGAGAACTATCCTGGTGGTGCCCTCTGCCAGGGTGGTGTAGCAATGCCAACTGAAGTAAAACACAATGGGAAGCCACACCACTGGTACCCAGTACCTGTAGCAAGAGAGCATAAAGCAATATGGTCACACTCTCAATCTCTCAAACCTTTCTGTCATATTTTCTGCCGTGTCGTATCATATTGAGGGTGATGCAGCGTAATAGTCGTAGGAGCAGTCCAGCTGATGCTGAAGTGGGTGAAGGGAAATACTAACGTTCGGTGCTCCTGCAGTAACTAATCTAAAGCTGCTCTTGAGCAAGGCACTGAAGCCACAGCCTGCTCCAGTGTAGCTGCTTGTTGAACCTGACAGCTGAACTGCATCAGTGAATTAGGAAAGACCGCTCTTTCCTCTGTTAAAATGGAATCAGTGCTAACAACTGTTTGTATGTGTTAGTACAGCGGCTCCCAGCTGTTTTCGGTCTTCAGGTAATAATAAATGCATCACTGCAAACTGCAGCACAAACAAACTTCTTTCTTGTTATACAGGGATGGAAATTTACATACACACACTTTTAACATTATTCTTTTTTAGCCAAATAATCACAAAGTCATTTCAGGGACAGCGCATATTTGAAGTAAAGAAAAAGGGAGAAGATCAGAGGAACAATTTAAATATTTACAAGCTTAAACAAACTATTTACATATAAGCTCTAGGAACACACTAATCCAGAGAAAGAGTGAGAGAGAAGGTCAAACGACTCCTGCACGCCACACCTACTGACTGCCTGCACGTGGCACAAGAGGAGAGGGAGAGACACCGGCGCGGTTGGTGGACTGTGGTTGCTCTGAGCAGCATAAACAGGAATGAATTCAACATATTCCTCAACTTTTCCCTGATGGTCTCTAACTTTGTCACTAGTACCTTATTAGAAGTAATTTGGAGTATAGAGTTAGCAGTAAGAGAGCCTGAAAAGTGGCTAAGTCTAGCGATAAAGTGGCCAAGTTGGGAACACATTTTTCAAATTTGAGCAAAACTAAACTTAATAAATTCGTTTGTAAAGATACATTTGTTTTCTATCCCACAATTTCCTAGACATTTGTGTCCCAGGGGCTATTTTTCTTGTCCCCAGGACAACAGGACATCCGTGATTTCGAGCACTGTCACTTTCAGGCGCAGTTAGCACATGTATTTTGACATCTCTGCAAGAACTAGCTTTCATGAACTCTCAATCACAGCGTGTGGTGTTAATGTGTCATAAGTGACTCAGGTTAGTGGGAGGCGACAGTAAATATACTTAAGTTCATCTTAAAAACAAGTTTTAATATAATTTTATTTTCCAGATTAGCTGAGCTACTTACATTACATTACACACTACACTATCTTTCCCCGTCTCCCCTGGCACCCCTGCAGAACTACCCCATGGTTTATAAATACCACTGGTTGGGAATGACTGTATTAGTCAATAGATACAATGGTCAGTCCACATGTCTCCTGCAGTAGCACTACATGGGTTTAGATTAAATTTATCACATATTATTATTATTATAACATATATATATATGTTTTTTTTAAGTATTATTTTTATGGCTTTTATTTGATAGGGAGGCAGCTGGAGATGGACGGGGGTGATGACTGCAGCTAAGGGCCACAGGTGAGCTAACCCGGGCCGCTGCATATGGGTTGCCAACTCTACTGACCTCCATATTTTTATAATGTCTGGGAATTGCACACGTGTGTTAACCTCAGGGTCGGACAAAGAGGTAATGCAATGGGTGTCGGTTCTGTTTGCGAGTCTCTAGAACTGGAGGCATATTTGTGATTGAATAAACATCATTTTGACCGTGTATACATACAGTATATACACCAAAAAGACCATTTCCTTTTCATCTTGTCGCATTCTCTTCAATAACATAAGAGAGACACAGAGTGTCCTGTATTACCAGGAAGTCTTGGTGCTGGCCTCCAGGAAGGGATTTCCAAACAGTCTGATTGGTCTGTCGACTGGCTGGTGAACCCATGCATCATATTTCTCTCTGAGGTGGCCAACCTGCCAAGCCAGGGGCTTCCGCCAGTCTACCAAATCCTGCAGAGAAACAACCAATGAGAAATGAGTGAAACATATTCTATACGGGTCAATGTGACCGTGCTGGAGAAAGCGCAGAACAGAGTGGGAGCAGGTCTCCAGCAGGTGGCAGCAGAGAGTTAACAACTGAATTGCAGTAAGACTTTTTAAACCAGGAAGTGACTGCTTGTATGTTCATTTGTGTCTGCATGCACTGTTGCAAGTTTGCTTTCCTCTAACTGAATTGTTGCCAGTAATAATTGAAGGTTTTCATTCTGAGTAGAAAGACAAGATCCTGAGCTACTTTTATAAGTTTCTTACAAGCTCCTCATGCCGCTGTGGCGTGGGTGAAGGATGAAGATAGACAGTCAAGTAATATCCACATTACAGTTTTGTAATATCCACATTACAGTTTTGTAATATCCACAGGAATGTTTCAGGTTAGGTAAGTGGGTGGAAAAACTGGTCTCGAGTCAGAACTTACAAAACTTATTTATGAGGGAGATAGGGAAGTAGGGTAAAACTGTGACCGGAATAGAAGAGATTATGTTGTGTCACTGTGTTATTTCCCAACTCTTTACTTCTAAATGGTGGTGATTACTTAGAAAAAATTGATTGTTACCCAGGTGATGGGGTCTCGCTTACCCCTCTGAGGACGTTGGTATCAGGCACGGACAGACACAGTGACCTGAGGTGGATTAGTCTCACGCTAATTACAGGTAATTACAGGTTACCGCCTAAACTATACCGTGTTTATCACCCCCATTTAGACACAAAGAAATCCAAAGATGGTCTCTCCTCATCCACTGTGTCTGATGCCCCCATTTCCACACCAAGCATCATGTAATACATTCACTCACACTGACAGTTTAGCATCCGATGGCACTTTTGCTGGTGCTGACTGGTCAGCTGCCTGTCATATCAGTGTAGGGTTTACAGTTATAACACTCACCTCTGTCCTTTATCACCTCCGTTCACTCAGGACAAAGTGATAAATGCAGCTTATTCTGCTGTGCGGTACATATAAAAAGGTACAACAAGAAATACTGCAGTACACAAAAATTAGTAAAACATACTTTAAAAATGTATCATATATCATATCAAAAAATATTTTGATATATGATATGTATCTTAGATACATTATGATGATTATGGTTGATATTTATTTACCTCCTAAACAGTTAAGGCGACAATCACCAATGTATGTGTCATTTTTTCAGCAACATTTAAGGGAAAATGCAGCATCTGGCAGATGTTACAATGTTACAAAAAAACAAATCCTGTAGGTTTTCAGTAGTTTCTTGATGTTTCTCATTCATGACAGACTGTCACTGCCTTTGGCCAGGTAGTCATTGTAAATGACAACTGCTCAGTTGACTTTTCTAGGTAAATAAGGGTAAAATAAATACATATATAGAATAAAATAAAAACATTTTAATGATGAATCATTTTCTTTAGGTTTAAATTGATGGGATCAGCTTTAGATGTTTTATTTGAATTGGGGGGAAAGACTTATGCATTTAAATGTCAAATGCATGCCCCCGGACCACCAGAGAGGGTTTGGACCCCCCACAGTTTCACAAAAGGGGCCCCCAAACAACATTTTGCATAGGGCCCCAAAAAAGCAGTCTGTTTTGACTTGTATTTATTATAAATAATGTACATTTTCATTGTTAGTTAGTTAATTTAGTTCATTAATGCTGCTACTGCCTCAACTTTTGTTTTCTGTACAATCAAAGTCATATAGGAAGTACCGTAGAAAGTAAAGGAGCGCTCAACTGCAACAACTGCACTGAAGTCAGAAAATATAAGAGCTGCTAGTAAACAAGTCTGTACACTCTGTACTCCGTCTGTTATTAGACTGAGAGAAACTTTTTTTTAAAAGACATTTAGTCTTGTATAGTCAAAACAAAGAAGTGAAACACATGGGGTGAAGATAATCACACTTGTCACAAGGGCAGGGGCTTCCCACAAACAAATGGTGATGTCTTGAAACAATTTAACTCCACTATCATCAAGAAAACGAAACTCCAAAACTGACTGCCACATCACACAGACACAATGTCCTTTATACTGTAGCTTCAAAATATATATATCAGTCACTATCAGAGTGGCATTCTCTGATCTTCCTGGTTAATATCAATAACAACAATTCAATATTTATTCTGAGTATCAGCAAATGCCAATAACAGGCGAAAAAAGACAAGAAACTGGGCCACCTGCATTTGTGAAACCATGCCTCTCATTCTTGAAAGAGCGGTTCAGAGAAAATGAAGTAAGATACACGCACGCACACACACACACACACACACACACACACACACACACACACACACACACACACACACACACACACACACGCACACACACGCACACACACGCACACACACAGACAGACATACACAGCTGGCTGCTTGATTCAAAAGGATAAGTATGTGACTAAATAATGTGAGACTGATTAGCAGCGTTCCTGCTTTACCAGTTTGTCTCTGCACAGTACAGAAAGAACCGTGTCAACAATACAATGTCAGAAAATAAGGTTTAACTGACGGCTTCACATTAAGCAATTCTGAACTTACTTCAGTGAGACAGACGGTCTCAACCAGAATAAAATGCCTCATGGAGCTCACACTGGAGCTCTGTGATGGGAACGTCCAAGGTGAAGGATTTAAATTACACTGACGCAAAATGGTAAGCTACAGGGGTCCAATCATCGACTTTATTGGAACAATTTGGCGTAGTTGTAAAGACAGAAACACCGTGAGGTCCACGGGGCACAATTAAGGACGGGTTTACACGGTGTGTCTCACTCAATACACCGATGCCTGGCAACAGAGTGAACCAGACGGACTGGTTGAATCTGTCATCACACCGGTCTGTGAAAGGTAGAAAAACACTGTAAATTGCTCAGTCACATGAGCATCACCTGAGTGAATGAATGAATGAATGTGGCATTACGTGTGTATTTCTATACAAACTGTTCTCACAAGAATATACAGGAAACACAAGGAACAGTTTCAGGTTGAGACTTTAGTTAGGAACTGGCAGGTGCACATTAAGTGAGGTTAGGTGTTTTGTGTTATTGCCATTGATTGTAATGTTGCCTCTGTAGGTGTTGAATTGCCATAGGAGATGTTAGGGGACGTGTGTGTGTGTGTGTGTGTGTGTGTGTGTGTGTGTGTGTGTGTGTGTGTGTGTGTGTTTTCATTGTGCACATGCTCTTGTGTAGCAGTGTGACAACTTCAGAGTCTACTAACAAACAGGGACAGTTTTGGAATGAGGCAGGGTGAATAACCTGACGACTGTGCACTCTTCTTCTTCTCCCCATCCCCATCACCAGTCCCCACACACCCACACACACTTCCCTGTCTTGTTTGGTCGGTCTCATTCCAGTCCAGAGCATGTAACCATGGGCAATTTCAACAAACACACACATATACACAAAGAGATACTTCATGTAGGAATCCACTCTCTCCATGTGATCACATAACACACAGACACAGACACAGACACACACACACACACACACACACACACACACACACACACACACACACACACACACACACACACACACACACACACACACACACACACACACACACACACACACACCTTGTCCAGGTCCACAGAGCTGCAGATGTTGAACGGGGAGTTCTCATCCTCCTCTTGCACCTTCTTGTCTGTCATCTTTTCTGCCGTCTCTTCGCTGGCCTTCCTCCTCTCTCTCAGAGT